ATTTGAGTGTGAGGAAACAGCTGGAAGTTCCCTAAGATGTTGCTTCCCTCTCCTGCCGGGACTGGGTCAGAGACCTGTTCTCAGCCTTCTCAGGTAAGGCAGCGCAACGGCCAGGAGCGGCTGTACCTCCGCTCGGCTCCTCTGGGCGTCCCGTGCTCGTCACAGGGCCTTCAGCTCTATGTGACCCTCCCCTGCAGCTTTCCAGCCTCTCACGAAAACCTGTCTTCCCTGGCTTCTTGCTCCCCTTCACCCCGAGTGAGTGCTTTTTTGGACCATGAGAAGGTTGAAATGTGAGTGAAACACCCGGCTTCCCCAGGTGCCGCGCTGGCTCCCCTCTCCCTAACCCCAGGGCTCTGTTCCAGGCAGACCGGGCTCAGCAAACTCCACCTCCCAGCCTCTGCCCAGCTACCAGGGCCTGGAAGAGCCTGCTTCCTATCTGCCGGAGTTCCCACCGCTCCCGGGCCCACTGGCATCACCCTCGCACAGTTTCACTAGGCGAGAGAAGCCCTTCTCTGAGCCCAGTCTCTGTCACAGGGCGACGGGAGCTGAGGGCCACTGGCGCTCCCACCAGCCCTGCTCTGGACCTAGTTCCCCACTCACGCAGGCAGGCGTTGATCTGGCCATGCAGTTGGCAGTTCAGGCACCAGAAGGGGCCAGGATGTGATAGGTTCTTTTCCCCGCTGCCTCCTTTGGCCCAGGGGTAGGAGAGGTGGGGTAGCACTGGGGAGGCATTGCAGGGTCAGGGGGGACACCAAGAGGTCCAGTCCTGGCCTCCCGCCAGAAGGCTGGTCCTGGAGTCAGGACAGGTTCCCTTGCCTGGTTTCGTTTATATCACATGTTTTCTGTTTGCACCTGTGACCAAAGGCTTCCCAGATGGCTCAGTGGTAAAGAATCTGCCCGCCAGTGCAGGAAACTCGGGATCCATCCCTAGGTTGGGAAGATCCCCTGGAGAAGCTGGCAACCCACTCGTCTTGCCTGGAGGAGCATCCCATGGACCGAGGGGCCTGACCTGAGCCCTTCCCACAGAGGGACTGTACGCTTAGGCCACTCAAGATGGCTGCTCTCTTGCTCTTGGTACGTCCCCTGTTTGACCAGCCCCTGCTTCCCTCACATGACTGTCCAGTCCTCTTAATTACAGGGCTTAATCAGATCCTGGTACCTTGGCCCACCTGACATCAATCCCCCACCTATAAATGGTGGCTGCCTCCTCCTGGGGGCACTGAAGGCCGCCGCTGTGCTCTGCCCACCAGCTGCCGTATATGGTGTGGTGTGGCTCCACGCCCCTTGTGTAAGATCCCTCCATCTGCCAAACCATTACACCTTCCGTGCTGGCTCAGACAGTAAAGAATCCGCCTGCAATGTGGGAGACCTGGGTTCCATCCCTGGGTTGGGAAGATCCTCTGGAGAAGGGAAAGGGCTACCCACTCCAGTACTCTTGCCTGGAGAATCCCATGGACAGAGGGGCCTGGTGGGCTACAGTCCATGGGGTCACAAAGAGTCGGACAGGACTGAGCGACTGACACACACGACAAACCACCGGTGTCTCTGCTGCTGCCTCTGGGCGTTGGTCTCAAGGCTTTTGTGGGCCTGTGGGTGCAGCCCCACGGAGACAGAGGCAGGGCACCCGAGCCCACGCTCCTGCCCATCGCCCCCCACGTTCTGCACCCACTTCTGGCCGAGAGCGCCGGGCCACGTTGACAGAGCCAGGCCTAGGGGTGCGCAACCCCTGCCTTTGCAAAGCCGCGTGACACAAACACAGAAAGTGGTTCAGAGTCAGCAGCATTCGTTTTTATTTCTACAGGGCATCCAGTGATAGTACTGTTTTCCGTCCACCTCTGAACTCTTAAAAGAGCCCAGTGAGGTGAGGCGGGGGCTGCCGCACAGCAGCCGCGGGCCCCCCGCCTCTGACCCCGCTTCCCCTCCCCGGGCCGCAGCCCCACCAAGAGCGGCAGAGCGCTCAGAAGCCAGGGCCGGGCTTACTTGGGGCGGGGGGACAGAGGGACAGGCTGGCCTTCCCCACGGTCCTTCTATCAAAACAGAGTGCTTTAAAAATCCTTCATTTTTACAAAGAAAACTACTCAAAAGAATACAAGATTCTGATTAACCTTGAACACACCAAGTTTTGCAGAAGCTGTACTCCAGAAAACGTTCTAGATTCCCACGTGGCACAGTGGCAAAGAATCCGCCTGGCAAATGTAGGAGACGCATGAGACGCAGGCCGATCCCTGGGCGGGGAAGCTCCCCTGGAGGAGGAAATGCCACCCCACTCCAGTATTCCTGCCTGGAGAATGCTGTGGACAGAGGAGCCCAGGAGGCTACAGTCCACGGTCACAAAGAATCATACATGACTGAGCGCGCGTGCACACGTTCACACGCACAGCCACACACCTCGAGGAGGCCCAGCAAGTAAGGCGCCTTGCCTGGCCTGGGCGCCGTCTCAGCTCCTCAGAGCAGGGCTGGGCCCGGAGAAGCGGCTCTCACACGTGGCTGGCCGGCTCCTTAGATGGGCCCCCAGCACCGGCAGGTGACCTTTCTCTTCCGACCGCCAAGCTGCACGCGCCCCGTCAGTTCCGCGGCCTCAGGGGCCCACGGCTGTGCTCCGACCACTCAGCCTTCTCGCCCGGAAGCCGTGACGCTCCCGCCGAGCAGCTGGGAGAAGACCTGCTCCCGGGTGGGAAGCGCCACGCTTCTGTTTTCCACCGGGATTAGGGACCGTGTCATCTGGGATGAGAATTGGTGACGTGGGGTGGGCCAGGGGCCATTAGAAAGTCTGCTTTTGTCTGTAACACAGGGCAAGACGGCGGAAGTCCCTGAAGATCTGACTCTATTTGTGAGGGAAACGGCAGAGACTGGGCGGCAGGGAACCGCCTGCTCATTCCCAGCCTTCACTCTGACTGCAGCGTTTTCATTTAAAACATACTGTCTGGGGCCTTGGGGACCAGGCTCCTGGTACAGCACCTTCTTAGTGATCCTGGCTGCTCCATCAGGAACCTTTCAGATCTGGTTTCCTACCCACCACCCAGCAGGAGACACACGTGCCTGGGTTCTGGAGCCAGTGAATGGGGAAGCCGCGAAGGATCTTTTCCTCTTTTTGGCATTTAAAGTCTAACTGACGGCCAGTCACTGCTGAGAGTCCTCCTCATGCCAGAATCGGGGACCAGCTCCAAGGCCAGACCCACCCTCAGCCAGGCCTGCGCCTCGGACCGCCCCCAGCCCGCCCCACCCTGGCCCTTCTCACCAAAGCAGAAGAGCGATCCTGACTGCCTGCCCGCTGGGGGCTCTGCCAAATGTGTGGGCCCCTGGGGGCGTGTGGACCTGAGATCCCACGGGGCCACCTCTGAGGCCAGCTTCAAGGAGAAGGTACCCCACTGGAGGATGTTCCACATGCCGCTGCACACACAAGAGTCTGCAGGCAAACGAAGCCGACCTAGGGGACGCAGGGGCTGCCAGGGCCGGCCAGCAGCCCAGTCTGAAGAGGTGGCTCGCCTGGGGTAGGTGGCCCTTTGGCCTGCCCCTGGACGGAGGGTCTGAGCCCCAGACGATGGGACTAAGCCACCTTCCGCCTGGCCTTGCGCCAGCCCAGCCCAAACATGACCTCTGGGGGACCAGGAAAAGCCAGCTTCTTTCCCTGTTAAGGCCTCACGCCCCAAACCTCCAAGTACGGTTGTTTCCAGGGGTCCTACAACCACAGAGCTGCTTGGGGGGCCTTGGGATGTGGGCTTATTGCTGCAGGAATCCCCAAGACAGCAGGTCTTCAGAGTTCACTGGCTAACTGACTACCTTTCCCAGAGGCACTCACTGACTTTGCAGCCTTCACCTCTCTCTGAAGTTATTACCTTCTCTGTGTGCTACGGATCTCCTGTCCCATGGCCTGGGCCTAAAAGGAAGTATGTGGGAAGTTATAGTTATGCTGGGCTTTAAAAAATCTCCTGGGGATTTTCTGCCCCAAACAATAGAACTATTAGGAATGGTAAAGACAAAGTCGCTCAGTTGTGTCTGACTCTCTGCGATCCCATGGACTATACATACAGTCCATGGAATTATACAGCCCAGAATACTGGAGTGGACAGCCTGTTCCCTTCTCCAAGGGATCTTCCCAACCCAGGGATCGAACCCACGTCTCCCCCATTGCAGGTGGATTCGTTACCAGCTAAGCCACCAGGAAAACCCCAGGAACGGTAAAGGCAGACAGCAGTTTTTGATTCTCAGGCGATGACAGCTGAAAGAAGTCCACAAGAGAAACCTCGCCACGGGCTCTGGCCTATGCAAAGGCGAACAGGCCGAACGCTGAGGAACACGGTTCCCGCATCCCCGCGGGCTGCGCTCCCACACTGCGAAACCTCGACTCGGCCAGCAGAGGGCAGCAGCGGCTCACGGAAGGGCCAGGCCGGAGCCCGTCCAGCCCAGGAAGGGTTCGCCGGCAAGCACCTCCACACAGCCAAGCCCCGGGGGCCTTCCGCCAGGCCCTCACGTGCTTCTGTACGCAGTGTCATTCTCGGGTCTCAGCTAAAAGTGGGAGGCCCGGTGAGACCTGGTGACCAAGGGCACAGTGAGCGTAGAAGGATCTATGAACTCACAGCCAAAAAAGATTCTTTTCTGGCAGGCTATTGAATTTACAATGCAACTTACACCTCAAGATCTGACTGCATTTCAAGGCGGGTGGGGGGAGCAAGTTACTGATGAACTGAAGAATGAGAGGACAATCCGGTCTGAGGCCTGCTGCCCTCCCCCCACCCTGCGCATGGACAAACGTCCCCTCCGCTCCATCTTTTACTTTTCCACTAACAAGAAACCGGAAATGGAGACCGGAATCAAGCCTGGCATTAATCTTCCAGTGGGGAGATTAGGTGAAGAAAAACAATCCTATTTGGCTCCAATTACAGGTTAAGGTGGGATGTGACAAAAGGAAGTGATCACCTTTTAGCAGTCAAGCACAGATTTACTTTTCATGCACAAAAAGGAAGCCATGGGCTGTCGGCCTGCCTGGCCTCACACCTACACTACGGGGAAAGGGGAGGGGTGAGGGCAGGGGTCCAGCCTTGCACGAGGGCACGCGAGTCCTGTAAGGTCCCGAGGCCCGTTCCTCCTCGCGCCCTGAGCCACCCTGCCTGGGGCGGAAAAGACGGAGGCAGCTCTGCTGCAGCCCAAGGTCCACGCCGGTCCACCGGGCCCCCAACGGAGGCAGGGGCGCGCTCGCGACGAACTGTACCGCCCCAGGGGGTGCCGAGTTCCGAGGCTCCAGCTGGGACCCTGAGCCACATGCAGAAATTGCCGGTGGCCTGGGGGTGCACAGAGCAAGCCAGGTAGCGGCGTGTTAAAGGGCCGCTTGCGGGGGTGGCCGCGGGCAACTCAGTGACTCCGTTCATCTGGCGATGGGCAGCTCACACCTTGCGATGGCCCAGGGGCCGGACCACGGCGCTGTGTGTGTGAGAGACAGAGCGCGCGAGCACGTGCAAGCGCCCTGGGCGTGAGTCCCGAGATAGCAGCAGCTGCTCGCGCGTGGCGGGTGAGGCGCGGATGTGTCCGGCTCCAGGCCGCGGGGGTCCCGGGGAGCGGACGCACCGGGGACAAACAGGACTCAAGACGGCAGAGGACAGGGGGCGGGAAAGAAGAGACGCTGATGAGCTGACGGCGGAGCCCAGGGAAGGGGGCCTGGGCAAACGAGGACCACTGAGTGAGCAGTCAGGTCAGGGAGGCACTGTTAGGCTCACTGCTCCGTCAAAACGCAGCAACTTAAACCTAATTCGGACAGCGGCTGCAGGCCCGCACCAACACGCGCCTCCACGTTTCCCCTCCAGAGGGCGCTCTGGGCCCACAGAGGCTCCCTCACCCCCCAAACCAGGGCTGCGGCTTCCAACGAGGCTCGACGGCCTGTGCCCGCGCGGTTCCAGTGTAAACATTCACAGCGTTCCCAGAGAAGGCGGCAGCCGCCTGCCGCCTGGGGAGACAGCCTGGGAGGTGCCAGTCGGAGGTAAAACAACAACGGTCACTCGGTTTCTCCTTTTCACGGAGCGAGAGCAACATCACAAAGGGGAGGGCGAGGTTCTGAGGGTTCTGAGCCCACCGCTCGGATGGGAGCCGCGGCACCGTGACGAGGCGCGGGGAAGCGGCGGCCGGCTCGCAGCCCCGCGGGTTCCGACACCCCCCGGCAGGGAAGGGCTCCGTGATGAGGGCAGCGGCCAGGGATATCAGTGACTGGCGCCGCGATCCTGGGACACCCCGCACGGCGGGTCCTCTCGGGCACCTCGCCGGACAGATGAATGCTCCCTGGCTCTGGAAGCAACAGGAAGAATCTACCTACACGGGGGCCCTCCAGTCTGCGGGCCGCGGTCAGGCCCAGTGAGGAGCGGGGAGGGGGGCTGCAGGGCAGTCGGCTGGCCCACAGGGTCCGGAGTCCTGGGCTGGGACGACCCTGGCCCGGGTGTCACCCTCCTTCCCTCCGCCCTGAAGAGCGGAGAGCTGCCCGTGCGCGCGCCTGGGGCCTTGCGGGGTCGTCCCGGGTGTCGCTCGATCACAGAAGCTCCTGCTCGTCGTCCTCCGAGCCCGAGGGGCCCTGGCGCACCTCTTCATACCACTTGTTGGTCAGCGTTTTCATCTGGATGCGCCCATGGTGGAGGTCCTGGGGCGGGAGACGGGCAAGCCCTTGTCAGTGGGGTCAAGGTCAGGCTCAGGGGCAAGGCAGGGAGGGACAGCTGCTTTGTGCCTCGTGCGAGGAGACGGCAGGCAGGACGCATGGGCAACTTCAAAGTGCTGACGGTGAGCAGGCTGAGATTTTTCTTTGTGAGCAGGAGGTAACGGAAGGTCTCACTCAGAACAGGAGGCGGCGGCAGGATGGTGCGATGTTAAAAAAAAAAAAACAAAACCTGGCCTCTGGAATCAGATCCAGCTGGGCTCTGCTCTCAGCTCTGCCCCGCACTGGCTGTGTGAACCGGGAGGGGCAGTGCACCTCTCTGGGCCTCAGTCTCCCTGGCTATCAGGGGAGACAGCTCACTGCGTCTGCCACGTGGGCTGGTGGGAGAAGGAAATGACGCCATCACAGAAAACGCCTGGCGCAGTGCCTGGCTCCCACTGAGCGCTCACGTGCTCAAGGCACCCTGAGGCCACAGGAGGAAGGCGGGGCTCAGAACCAGGACAGAACTGCAGCTGGGGAAACCCCAGCCCCGGCCTGCACGGCGGGTGACCCTTTCAGCAAAGCAGGCGCAAGCTAGCCCGGGACGGGGCGTCAGTCCCAGTCACCCAGAGGCCAGCAGTGCCCGGAGGGAGGGATGGAGCGAGAGCCGTGGGCCTCGGTCACGGCAGGGCTGAGATTCCTCAGCTGGGTTCGGAAGCTCATCAGTGTCCCAAGTCTACCATCCGGGGAAGCCAAACTGTGCCAACAAGCCCACTATTAAACTAGGACTGAACAAGGCAGCAGATGCCCAGCCCCAGAAGCCTACCCAGCCCTCCAGCCTGGGAAGGAGGGAAAGCCGAGGGGAGGACGCCCCCGCCCCGCCCAGCACATGGGCCACCCCTGCCCAGCCCGCTCTGGTCCCTGGCCTGCGACCCACCTCCTGGGTCAGCCGCCGTGTGAAGAAGGGGTTCAGGTACTTGGCGTCCAGCCACAGGAAGCCCTTGAGGTCCTGCCGTCTGATGTAGTGGGCCTCGTACTCCTCCTCGGTGAGCTCCGACAAGTGCTCCGACTCGACGGTGTTGCCCTGTGCGGGAGCGGAAGCAGCCCAGGAGGCGTCAGCTGGCCCTGCCGGGAAGCCCGCACACCACCCAGCCTAGCTCGCAGCCCTGCGCCCTGGGCCCCTGGGCCTCCAACCCTAACTGCAGCAGCCCCAGGCCTCCCAGGAGCCGGAAGGGAGGCAGGAAGGTGTAGGAACACGGTGGACACCCGGGGAAGTCAGATGGTGAGGAAGTCAGCAGCTCAGGGCTGCGGCTCGGTCTTCTAAGTTCTCTGGCTTCCTGTCGTGTGCAGTCAGGACCAGGAGCCGTTCCAGGCTGTCTCCGTACCAGTGAACTGAACAAGGAGGCGGCTTTTGTTGCTTTCTGCCTGCAGTGGCCCACTGGGTGGGGGGGCAGTTTGCTGGTCACGTGGAGAGAGGGCAGAAGCAACAATCCTAACGGGACCTGGAGAGGGAGGCGCAGAAGGACCACCCACCCTCTGGTGGCCCCTGGGGCCACCAGAGGCAGTTCTGCACCCCTGCCCCAAGCACAGTGCCCCCCAGGTGTAGGAGGTAGGAGAGAGGGAGGGCGCAGTGCTTCTCACACTGGGGCCGCTGCCAGAATCGCCTGTAACTTGGGGAGCCATAGAACACAGGGCCCACTGCCCACCTGCAGCTCCTGATTCAGCAGATCTAGGATGGGACCCAAGAATTTGCATTTCTAATGAGCTCCCACTGATGCATCTAGTCCAGGAACCCCCACCTTGAAGACTGGGAGTGGAAAGTGTGGTTAAGTCTGTGGGACCTCAGCTGTGTGCCTCAGTGCTCTCATCTGCAAAATGGGATCACGAACGATGACCACCTGCTTCCTGCAGGTTATCAGGGAGACCCAAGGCAGTCCAAACAAAGCACAGACACCACAGAAAACAAGCCCCGAACGGCAGCTACTTCCCCTCCGAGCGCACATCTTGGTTCTGTTTGAGGTGGGCTTGGCCAAGTGCGGTGCAGTTCCTGGCAATGGGTTAGAAATGCAAATTCTTTGGGCCCCTGCCCTAGACCCGCAAGACCCTGGAGACCCCCACTGAAAGGCCTGAGAACATACACTTAGGCTTCGGTGAAAAGCAGACAAGACGTGGAGGAGGACTGCTGAGAGGGCGGGGCGCTCTGGGCCTGAGGCCCTCTGAAGGTGCCGCCACGCACAGCCCTGGCCGCAGAGGCCGGGGGCAGACTGGAGGCCAAGGTCCCCCAGACGGTGCTGGACTTTCTCAGGTGACAGGTGGGCACATCCTTTCCCCATCTTCTGGCTGAGGATTTCTGTGCCTTCCATGACTAAGTCAAGTTACTGATGGCCTCCGATAAAGGATCTAGAAAATGTGTTTCTGGAAATGTGTGCAGAGCAGAGGACGGTGCAGGAAGGCAGGACCCCCGTCAGGGCTCTGCACCCAGGTGGAGGGAAACAGGAGGGAAGACACCAGGGCAGTGACTCCGGGCACAGGGGATTGGAGGAGGCAGGGGCGAGCAGCGGGGCCTTAGGCTCCCTGCAACTCGCCCTGAGCACCCCCAGCCCCAAATCGGGCCCTCTCCTGTCCCGGGCAGAGTGCCTGCTCCCCCGACCCTCCGAACCACTGTGAGAGCCTTCCTCCTCTCACGCCCCAACAGGAGGCTGCTACTAAATGCTGGGGGGTAAGGCGATCTTGAAACCTTCGTCCAGTCCTGGCCAAGGGGGTGGGGTGGTTATTGGCAGGGGAGGGGCGTTACTGGGAGACCCTGAGAGGGGGTTCTCTCCTGCTGCCACCTACACATCACCACCTCCGGGGTTTCGCGAGGCTGGCAGACAACCCACCGCAAAGAGGCAGGCTTCAGACCCTGAGTCCAACCTCCTCCTCCGTGTGGGAAGCCGAAGTGTACACAGCTCGTGTGCGCGTGCCCCATGCGCGTGTGTGCGTGCCCATGGGCCAGGCACCCTCAGAGCGTGTCTCGCCCCCACATTCCCTGGCGGTGCGCAGGGACCCACGCCCCCGCCCTCGCTGCCCGCCCGGCCGGCACTGACCATCTTCTCGGTCTTGCTGAGGTTGACGTCCTTGCGGTTCCGGCGGCGCGCCTTGGCCTCGATGTCCACAAGGCGGATGAGCGGCATGGTGCTGCCGCCCAGCAGCAGGATGGTGAAGAGCACGATGACGATGGTGGTGGTGCCGATGAGCTGCCGCTTCTCCATGGGTTCCAGGTCCAGGTGGAGGCTCAGGGCGTAGGGGATGGCGCCCCGCAGGCCTGGGCGACAGGGAGGGGACGAAGTGGGGCGGGGGACGCCATGATTCTCGGGGGATCTGGGTCCAGCCCGGCACCGTGGCCGCTCGGACACTCTCCCGCACCCACCGGAGCGCGCAGACTCAGCCCGTGCGGCTGTGGGCTGTGAGGAGAGGGGCCGCAAACACGGGGGCCTGGGAGATGCCCTTCTCCGCCCCTGCTTCACACGGCGGCGGCCGGGCTGCCCAGGTGAGAGGCTCTGTCCCGGCCGGGCGGCGCCAGGTGCATCGTGGTACAGACCAGCCCTCCCGGCGGGGGGTGGGGGTGCACAACCTCATCGGAGCCTCACAGGAAGCCCCAGGAGCGTGGTCCTGTCACGCTCACGGCACACCGAAGGAGGGCCGGGGCTGCCAATGAGGCGTCCTCCCAGGGCAACGTGCTCCACAAGCCACAGCCCAGGATACCATCCGTCCAGCACCCGGTGGGCCCGAGGATGCTGCACCTGCGCGCGGGGAACCGCGTGTGGGCCTCCCCCTGATTTCCCGTTTGGTCTCTAGGAGGCTGCTGGCTGGGCTGGGGCATGGATGCGCTGCGAAATGACAAGTTCTCACTAGAAAGTTCCTGGTGCCGTGGATAGGGGATAGGAGCTCCCCGAGTGGCTGGGAGGAGACACACCAAAGAAGGACTCAAGCGAGGGTGAGGGCTGTAAGGAGCAGGGTGGGCGAGGAGCGGGAGGGCGGAGCACAGAGGCAGGATCTGACCCAGACGCAGCGGCTGGCGCATCACCGCGCGATGGGGCCGGCTGCTGCAGCCTGGGCCTGACATGGGGACACAGCAGAGAAAAAAGGGTGGATCTAAGAGAGACACGGGGAGTGGAAGCTACAGGTTCCAGGAGAGGGAAAGTGTGGGTGACCAGGGAAGGGAAGGGCCCGGAGGATGCCCAGCGGGCTGGGCAGGCAGTCAGGAGTCTGGCTCCTGGGCTCACCCCCGGCCCCCGCCTGTCCCCGCAGACTCCCAGGCCGGGAGGAGGAACCACACACAGCAGGGCCTGCCCTGACGGTGGCCGAGGATTAAACGCCTTGGCACAGAACAGCATGTGCGCACAGCAAACACGCAGAGGGAGCCACACCTCTGCTATAAAACAAGTTATTGTCTCTTATGGAAGAAAGGGGGCTGCTGGCAAACAAGCAGGTTCGGCAGGAAGGTAGGTTCAGTCCTAGACCATGAGCTCACAAGGGCTTCGTGACACCCAAGGAGGATGTAGACACTGCAGCCTGGATCAGAGGAACCAGCTTGGGGAGGAAGGGAATTTGAGGCCACAGGACAGGTGGGCCTGTGAGGGCTCAAGAGACGAGGCAGGTCTGAGACGGAGTCCTGGGGGGGCCAGTGTTGACTGAGGTGCTGGTGGAGGGAGAGAGGAGACCCCCAGGGAGAGGAGGGAGGCCAGGGCGGGCTGGGAGGCCAGGGAAGAGGGGAAGCAGGGATCCCCAGTCAGAGCGCAGGCTGGGGAGGAAGGAGCCCCAAATTGAGAAGGTGGCAGGGTGCAGCGGACCAGCGCCCACCAGGTCTGGCGGCAGGAGGCTGCTGGTGACTCAGGCAAGGCCAAGTCCAGCCTGTGGACTGCTGGTGAGGACCTGGAGAAAATGGGCAAGAAAAGCTGGCCCAAGAGGTCTGGCCACAATGGGAAGAGATGGAGGGGTTTTGGCTGAAGTTGTTGGATTTTTGCCGGGAAAAGGAGTCTGTTTAACAGTTGAAATGATGGAAGAGCCCATGGAGACAGGTTGAGGATCCAGGAAAGAGGGAGGGACTCAATGCAGAGAGGCCTGCACGGCCTCAGAATGCCTAGGACCAGGATGCCTCCCCGTTTAAACCACCCCCACGTCCCCCAGAGGCCTCTCTCCATACTTGCCTGCCCCCAAAGAGCTCACGTACCTGGAAAATGCCTCATACATTTCTTAGATTTTTTGGGGTGGGTGGATTTTGAAGACCTTGGATCAACTAACTCCCTTACAATTTTCTCTCCCCTCACTGGCAAAAAAGATTTAAGAAAAACGTGTCCTTCACTATCTACACATAAATACAGACTTAACTACCTGCATGTCCTCCACACACACACACACACACATAATATATATACTTTAAACAAGATCTTTTGAAAAAGAAATCTTCAAGGAATGTAGAGATATGCTGTTGGATAGAAAACAGCCTATAAAGCATATTGCTATACCCTGAATCCGCAAAGAAATAAGTAAACTTAAAAATGTCTACAAGATCCGGTACTTTAGGAGCCAAAGATTTATGGAATCATTTCCATCCTTTACAAAAGGGGAATATGGGACTGAATGGCGATTGAAATGGTCAAATAAACTATCAGAACTTAGTGACTGAATAAAAAATAAAAATCCACATCTAGCTTTTCACTTTCATGCACTGGAGAAGGAAATGGCAACCCACTCCAGTGTTCTTGCCTGGAGAATCTCAGGGACGGCGGAGCCTGGTGGGCTGCCGTCTATGGGGTCACACAGAGTCGGACACGACTGAAGTGACTTAGCAGCAGCAGCAGCAGCCTGCAGTACAAAAAGGTTTAAACTTTAACCTTTTAAGCACCCAGACTTTCCTGGTGGTTCAGTGGTTAAGAATCTGCCTGCCAATGCAGGAGACAAATGAGTTTTGATCCTGGGTCCCAGAAGATCCCACATGCCAGGCCTAATGCCTGTGCTCGGCAACAAGAGACGCCACCGCAATGAGAAGCCCTCACGCCGCACCTAGAGAAGCCTGTGAGCAGCAACGAAGACCCGGTGTCATCAAAACATAAATAAATACATAAATAATAAAGTTAACTTCAAAGTATTTGAGCCCCTTGTGACTTCAGCCTGGAAAGTGTGCAGGTAGAGCGGTGCCATGCACAGCATGTGATGTTGCCCTTGGACTGGGCGGGGGGGGAGGGTGGGCAAACCCCGGCCCTGCCCCCAGGGCCCCTCAGAACAGGGGGTAGAGGGGACCCTGCCCCCAGGTCGCTCGACCCCCAGCAAGCCCTCTGCCCAGGCCTGGGTCTCCCCGTCTGTGGGGCAGACACACTCCCCTGCTGGGGGCGCTGTGGGGAGGGGCGTGGCCCATGAAGGGCCTTGCGTGGATTTTGGGGGCTGATGAGGCCCCCTCAGCTTGGAAGGGCTCCAGGGACAGCCGCGTCCACTCTCCAAAAGGCCAGTTTGTGCCTTCATGACATGGTCTCCTCCACGGCTCACTTGAGACTGGACTTACCGCTGAACCACATGATGAACATCATCTTCGGGGTGATTTTATGGTCACGGAAGAAATTCAGGAGGTAGGAGAGGGGGAAAATGTTCACCGCTCTACCGAACAGCACAAGCACCTGTGAAGAGCAACAGAGAGGTCTGACAGGGAAACCTCCGGTCCCTCAGGCTTGTCGAGGTGAACACAGACCTGGTGACACCCCCATGATAGTGGCAGCATCCCTCTGTCACCAAAGACATGACCTCGATGCTAGGTAGAGACGCGGGGATGCCAGTTTCTACATGTGGCAAAGGATTAGAGCTCTGTATGTTATGTTTCCAGTGTCAGAAAGAGAGGACTAACAAGGTATCAATGACGGCTTCAGCAATGCCAAGAGGAATTCAAGGGCCACCCAGCTCCTCTGAAGGTGCCCGGCTGTGTGATGGGCTAGTTCTTGGGGGACAGACAAGGTGTTCCTGCCTCTCCTATCAGGGCCCCACTCCTCCAGGAAAGGAGGGAAGACGGCCTACCCATGCCCATAAATGCTGCTCCCTGAGCTAAAGGAATATGCAGGTAGCTTCTACCAGGTCACATACACCCTGCCAGTTCCTAGCCATCTCCAAAGGCAGGTCGATTTTAACAAAATATCATTTTATGTAAAGTCCAAATCTTATCTAAGTGGCTTTTTAGAACTACTTATTAATTTTCTTCTCTTTTCTTCATCCTGGTTCTCACTACCACTAACTTGAACAGAACAATATAGCCATAAGCTATATTATGGGGAGTCTAAGTTTATTCTTTTAACCAGCATGAATTGAGTGTGCTTTGGACTGTGTGCCCTGGAAAGTCAAGTTAACAATAATTGCCCCCAATCACCTAACATTTATATGCCAGACAATGTTCTAAGCATTTTATATGCATTCTTGTTCAATTTCCATCCTTCCAAAGGTCTTATAAGGTAGGTGTTACTGTCTCTATTTTAGAGACAAGGAAACTGAGACAGAGAGGTGAAGTATGAAGTAACTGGTCCAAGTTGACAGAGGCAGGAAGTGGTGGCGCCAAGTCCCCAAACCTGGCTCAGTCCCCAGTGCCCACGCCCTTGACCACAGAATGAGCCTGAGGTGTTCCCTCTGAACGGCACAGGCCGCCTCCAGGGGCGGCCGGGCCAGGCTGACCAGGTTCTGGGGGGGGGGACCTGAGTCCCCACCCCAGGCACCCCCTTCGCCTCTCTTTCCCTCCTGGCCCAGGGCCGAGATCGCCACCTCCGTTTCACCCTCGGAGGTCGAGTCCTCCACCCCCGGGTTTGCGTTCCAGGTGCGGCCACACTGCCCTCTTCCGCCAGCGACCACCCTAGAGGCCATCTGCCTTTCTCTAAGAGACTTGGGCTTCTGTTCTCTTGTCCTGAGTCTGGAGGACAGATAACAGGGACAAAAGCTATGAGGTCGTGCTGACTAAGGCAGAAGCAACCAGACTGCAAAAAGAAAAACATCTTTCTTCTTCGGGCTCCTTATCCTCTCTGCCTCAGGCACCCCACATGCCAAACAGGAAGACGGCCTCACTGGCCTGCGCATGGTAGGTGACAGTGATTAAAAAAAAAAAGTCTGCCTCTCAATAGCTGTGTGTTGCTAAGTGGAGTTGTTAATAAAAGTTAACTCAGGATGAATTACTCAACAAGTAACTCAACTCAACAAGGTGTGCTTTGCAAGTGTCTTAACAGAGGATCTAAAAAGACAACACAGCGATCCAATTCGGGACAGGAGGATGACTCAGCAGGAGGACCTATGGGAGATGGGTTCACGCGGAGGGAACAGACACACGGGGGACACAGATGAGGGGCCTGCGACACCGGCGAAACGCCTGAACGCTCGCCACTCACGCCGCTTCCATCAGGTGCCTGAAGGAGATGGACCTTTCTTTTAAATGCTGAAACATTTATTTTTCTCCCGTTTCCCAAATCTGGTTTTAATTCAAATCATTAAACTTCTATTTTCCTTTCTTAAAAGCATATCTTAATTTGTCTTCACTGCCAGCACCCCTCTCCTGTCCAGTTATAACACTTTCCCAAGTCTACCTGATGATAAGAATCACTGGGGATGATGATGCCTCAGGGTGAATCTCCAGAGGACAGAAGGGTCCTGGAATCTTTACCGTGAACAACTGTCCAAAGTCACTCTTAAAAATGGACACATTTGAAGGAAACTATAGTAAGAATTTGGTATATTCATTACAATCATCTAGAAGAAGTAGAAAAGAAAAAGAAACTCATCCCCAGCTTGCCACCATCGTGAATATTTGGTATATTTTCTTATAGATTTTTTTCTTCTAGGCATACTGTTTTTACGCGGTTATAATCAATTACACATTCAATTCTGAAATCTGCTTTTACCATCTAACATTAAAAACTGGTATTTTGTATGTGTGCACGCATGTGTATCCCATTCCACACAGCACATGGGATCTTAGTTCTCCAACCAGGGATCAAACCCGTGCCCCCTGCAGTGGAAGCATGCAGTCTTAACCACTGGGCTATCGGGGACGATCCAAAAGAACCGATAATTTCTGAAGAAGACTGTAACTATTCAGGGCTTCCCTTGTAGCTCAGATGGGAAAGAATCGCCTGCCAGTGTAGGAGACCCAGCTTTGATCCCTGGCTCAGAAAGATCCCCTGGGGAAGGAAATGGCGGCCCACTCCAGTTCTTGCCTGGGAAATTCCATGGACAGAAGAGCCTGGCAAGCTACAGTCCATGGGGTTGCAAAGAGTCTGACACAACTTAGCGACTATTCAATGCAACAGGTCACGTAAAATTAAAAACCAAGCAAAAATACTTTTCTTGGGATATTTATTTAATTTCACCCTTTCCCATTTATTGTATGTTTATGATTTTTTAACGAAAAGAAACTTGCAACAGAGGTTGTCTATGTAGCTGTTGACTATGACCAGTTAACAGTTACATAAATGAATCCAGAATATGTGGTTATTGATCTACAAATAAGTCATTAAATAAAAAACAAGGAAAATACTTACTATGCACCAGATGACAAAGGAAATTTCAAACTTGTGAGGGAAACTAAAAATGGACAGGCCAAGAAATGCAAACACACATGTTTCTGAAACAAACCAAAGAATGGATTATTCAGCCTCAACTATTTTCTTCCAAGACAGGACGGGCTCGTTATGCAAACAAACATTTCAGAAGTCAATCAGAATCCAGTATAACACTGTGCTTATTTTCTGGAAAATCTTGGTCAAACTTGTCCTTAGATTCTCTCATTTTTTTTTCTATCACAACAAGCAACATGTGCTTGCTATTCAGAATCTCCTAATTTCATGAGCCAGCTGTCAAATACCCATGCAAATAAATATTTTCCCACCCAGGGATGAGGATAAATATATGAATCTGTCCACTTGCTGAACACTGTGATTAGCAAGGATGCTGACTGCGGCAAAGCGGCAGAAATTCAGAGCAAAGTGGCTGCAGACACCACGTGACCAGTGTGAAAGGGCCCTTTGTCAACTTCTTTGCCAGAGCGGACAAAGCCCGTGATTGACTTCACATATTTAATGCCACCACAAAGTTTAGAAGGCTTACACCCTGCAGGATTTGCAGGAAGAGATACGTTTCAACTCTTGGCTCCCCTCCACAAGTCCAAGAGAAGCTGACATTTACTCTTGCCGTACAAGCAGCCACTTGTGTATCCTAAGAAAAAAGCACCTTATAAATTTCTAGCACTAGGCTCGCTGCTTAGACTGTGACATCCTCCAGAAGAGTGCTGGAGCCAGGGAGACAAAGACTCTATTTTAAAAGTTGAACATCATAAAACATCAAGGCTGTTTTAAAATATTTTAGCAATGGTGTTTTTTTTCCTTCTTCAAATGTGTATCCCTTTCGAACAAGTCTACAAGCTGGAGAGTGAACATATCCTTCTCCTCCTTGAATGTTTTTCTTATCAAATATTTTTGTCACCTTTAGAAATCAGCTCATTTAGAAAACACTCCGATCTAGGTAATACTGTTCTCCGATAGCATGAATACGATTATGTGGATAAGTCATGGTTAAAAATCAATCTCTGATGGATATTTAGACTGATTCTATTTCTAGTATTCAGAAAGCTACAACAGGGACTTCCCTGCCGTACCACGGTTGACTCCGTGCTTCAAATGCAGGGGCTCAGGTTCCATCCCTGGTAGGGAACTAGGATCCCATATTCCCGGGTGCACCACCCCGACCTTCCCCAAAGAAAAAGCGACAGCAAACACCCCTGTGCACAAGCTAAATTCCTGATGGTAGAATCACTGGGTCCAAAGAACATATACCTCTGAAATTCTGACTGATGCTGCAAATGACTCTCCTAAAAAGACGGCATCAATGTACATGCCCAACAACAGGGCCTATTTTCTATACATTCCTGCCAGAAGTAGGGAATCACCAAATTTAAAATCTGATGGGCTCAAAATAGAATCTGACGGATGTTTTGCTTTACATTTCTTTGTGGTGAGACTCAGAGTCGTTGGCCATGACTTTCCAAGAAAGGTGCGGTGCAAACAACAGCCACTGGGCTAGGAACGGGCAGACTGGCTTCCAGACTCACTTCTTAGCTACGAGACAGTGCTCAAGCCATTGGACTTTGAGCCTCCCTGTCTGTGGCATGAAGCCTCTGCACAGCTTGCCCCGACCCCTGGCCTGTGACAGTGTGGGACTACCGCTTGGATATGGGACGGCCCACCGAAAGGCCAGGGGCGGTGCTGACGATGACAAGGAGTCACTTGGGGGCCTTCACCCCCAGGTATAAACTTGGGGGGTCCAGGTTTCATCCGAGTTTGGTGCCGCACTGAGACTGCTGGAGAGAAACATCAGTGTGGCCCTGACCCCTCCCTCTAATGCAGGGTTGGCCGACAAGAGACTTGTGAACCAAGAAATGCTTAGGAAATTTTGGGAAATGCTCTCTCTCTTAGAGATTCACAACACGTTAGCTGAAAAGTCTGTGTTTGGAAACTTGTTAAACTTTTTTTTTTAATACGTATTTATATATTTATTTCTCTGGCTGTGTCGGGTCTCCGCTGCAGCACATGAGCTCCTCACCGCGTCGCGCAGGACCCCGAGTCACGGTGCATGGACTGAGCTGCTAGGTGACATAAAGGTCTTAGTTCCCCGACCAGGGATCTCACCCAAGTCCCCTACACTGGAAGGTGGACTGAACCACCAGGGAAGTCCCTGTTAAACTTTCCTTACCCCAGGATTTCCCAAACTCTCTTTTGACTACGGAGTCTTTTTTCATTTTTTGGCCGTACCTTGAAGCACGTGGAACTTCCCCGACCAGGGATCGAACCTTGTCCCATGTAGTGGAAGCACGGAGTCTTAACCACTGAACCACTCCAGAAATCCCATGGAGTCTTCTTTTCACCTAACTCTTATCAATCTCAGTTCCAAGGAATAGATTTTAGGAAATATCACTTTCACATATGGTAAATGTACACGTCTCAAATACTCATAATTATAGCAGTTCTCACTATTTTTGGTCTTAAAGTTATAGGAATCAAAAGTTCCACCTGTTAGGTATTAGAACTCTTAATGGAATGTGAGAGCCAGAGTAACTAACAAGAGATAAGGGAGTGCGGTATCTGGCCCGGAGGGATCATGCTGCCTCTTCTGCCAGGGAAGATCTCAAGGGACTCCTGGAACACAGGCAGGAAGGACAAGCAGCTCTGGGAGGCCCGCACGGGACTGCACAGAGGCCGAACTCACCGCACAAGAAGGCCACGGTCCGCAGGGTTTGCTGCATGAGGATCTGGGTGACCGGGGACAGGTTGTGGTGCGTGTAGTGTGACATCACAATGCCGGAGAACAGGATGGCCATGATGCCTGGAGGGGGACAGAGGGCAGAGAGCACAGCCATGAACAGAGCAGAGAAGCACCTGCCATGTGACACGCAAATCACGCCTCACACTTCCTGCAGGTCCCGCAGCCTCGAGTACTGGGTGTTTTAAGAAAAACGAGAAGAAAATAGTACCTGAAGCTTCCCAGAGGAATGTTATGGGCCCAGCTCTCTGGCAGCTTCATTACCAGCTGGGCGACCTTGGGTCAAGTTTCTTCCCCTCCCCAAGCCTCAGTGTTGCCAACTGTACAGTGGGACTAATCGAACCCGCTCATGGAACTCTTAGGAGGGTAACGAAGAGCAGCCACGCCAAGTGCCCGTCACAAGCCCAGGGTGGAGCAGGTGTGGGCTGTCACTGTCGTGAGTGGATAGAAGGGGGGCGGGTATCACTCTTGGGGCAGAAAGGGAACATAAGAACCTGGGTATAAAGAATGGGTGGATTTTTACTTTGCTGTACTTTAATTTTTCAAACAGTACGTGTTTATTTGGCTCCATTGGGTCTTAGCTGTGACCCCTAGGATCTTCAGCGCGTCACGTGGCCCTTCTGTCGTGGCACACAGACCCTCGAGCTAAGGCGCGCAGGCTCAGCGGCTTAGTGGCACATGGGCTCTAACTTCCCCGATCAGGGACCAAACCCAGGTCTCCTGCATTGCAAGGCAGATTCTTAACCACTGGACTACCAGGGAAGTCCCTGTCATACTGTAATTTTGAATTTTCCCACGGTCACCATGAATTAACCTTATAATATGAAAAGAAAGATGTTTTTCTTTTTCAAGTGATGTGTTTTTTCTTTAACGGTCTCCATGAGAGCATCTACAACTTTGCTTGCGCTCTGAGCATGTGAGTTTCAGCTTTTGTCCACTGCCCTAATCACTGCTGAAGCCATTTAACACAGGTTTCCTCTGTGTGTTTTCCTGGAGAGGCAGCAGCAAAGAGGTCTTTATTTCATGTAAAGAAGCTGAGATTTTTACAAAGCCTTTAAACAAGCTGCCAAGATACATGAATTCCAAGTCAAACCCTATAAGAAAAAACGTAACTCACTTCTGCCATTTTGTAGAAACAGATTACCAGCTAACTTTCCAGTTAAAAATGAGTGAAAAAACACAGAACTGCATTGGAGATGTTTCAACTGGTAAGCTTGCTGTATAAACGATACTTCACAAAATATAGGAAAACCCCACTCTTCGTGGCACCAAAAAGGTATTTGCTGGCCAGAGAGAGAGCAGAAGCTGGAACATTTCATCTCCTGGCCCTTTTAGGAAACAGCAAACTCCTGTCTGCTCTTTCTTTGTCGCCCCAAAAGGAGGCAGGGATGGGAAACTCCAGCAGCGCTGCCCATGAGCCACCCCTGCCGAGCTTGGAGAAGGGAAAGGAGAGGGTGGCAGACGTTTTCACTTGCGACTTGACAGCAGTGATAAGATTCTGGAAGTCAGGAGCCATTCTGAGCCTCTGCTCCATTAGATAAGACATGACAACAAAACCTCCGACTGTCCCCTCGATTCACCTGCTCCTCTTGGTAAGTTCCTGCAGGCGAGCACCCTAAGAGCTTCTTCCTGACTCTGCACCCAGACCGTGGACACCACAGGCAACGTAAGGTGGAACAGAGGGACAGCCCAGACCGCCGAGGCCGGGGGCGGCACACGGCACAGCTCACTTCAGCTTCTGTGGAACTGCCCCCAAGGGTCTTTTTCTTCAGCACAATCCAGTGCTACACGGTTCTGGCTTCTCAAAGGGCTTTGTTTCTCTAGCCAGCTTCAAGAAGGGTTCGCTGCAAATTCACTGCAAAGCCGAGACTTGGGGGTTCTCACCCTGAAGGAAACGTCAACCCCAGAGGAGCCTGAACCATGTAAGCTGTGAATCACAACCACGTAAACTGTGACAGGAGTGGGCTTCCGCCCATACTGTCATTCTGCCCACAAAGGTGGCCACGGCCCTCGGGAGGCCCGACATTAAACAGCCACTCCACAAAGTCCCACACTTGGGCTTCCCTGGCGGCTCAGATGGCAAAGAGTCTGCCTGCAGTGCAGGAGACCTGGATCTGATCCTTGGGTCAGGAAGATCCCCTGGAAAAGTGAATGACTACACACTCCAGTATTCTTGCCTGGAGAATCCCATGGACAGAGGAGCCTGGTGGGCTACAGTTCATGGGATTGCAGAGCTGGAGACAACTGAGCAACTAACAGATGGGGAAACAGTGGAAACAGTGTCAGACTTTATTTTCTTCGGCTCCAAAATCACTGCAGATGGTGACTGCAGCCATGAAATTAAAAGACACTTACTCCTTGGAAGGAGAGTTATGACCAACCTAGACAGCATATTAAAAAGCAGAGACATTACTTTGTCAACAAAGGTCCGTCTGGTCAAGGCTATGGTTTTTCCGGTGGTCATGTATGGATGTGAGAGTTGGACTATAAAGAAAGCTGAGTGCCGAAGAATTGATGCTTTTGAACTGTGGTGTTGGAGAAGACTCTTGAGAGTCCCTTGGACTGCAAGGAGATCCAATCAGTCTATCCTGAAGGAGATTAGTCCTGGGTGTTCACTGGAAGGACTGATGTTGAAGCTGAAACTCCAGTACTTTGGCCACCTGATATGAAGAGCTGACTCATTTGAAAAGACCCTGATGCTGGGAAAGACTGAGGGCAGGAGGAGAAGGAGACGACAGAGGATGAGTTGGATGAGTCGGATGGCATCACCGACTCAATGGACATGGGTTTGGGTAGACTCCAGCAGTTCCTGATGGACAGGGAGGCCTGGCATGCTGTGGTTCACAGGGTCTCAAAGAGTCAGACTCGACTGAGCGACTGAACTGAACTGAACTGAGAAACTAATACTTACACTTTGCAGAAAGTCTAAGGCTCCAGGAAGTCAGATCTGACAGTGAAATGTGGAAACTCCCTTGGGACTGAGGCCACTGCCTCCTGGGAAACAAGGAGACAGGCTCAGTGCAGAAGGGGTCAGGCTGGCCACGTGAGTCTGGTGCACTAGACCAGGGGTTAGAAACCCAAACTCAGGGGCCAGACAATAAAAATAAAGATTAAAACAGTAAGTGGGTGTGTGGCACGTGTGGAAAGAAGGCACAGGCCCATCTATAAAGGGATGACAGCAGCTCTGTGGATGGAGGCCGAGTGCCGACCAGTCTTCCTCTCCTTCTGGTTTTTGAGAGATGCCAGAAATCTGCTTCTTAGGAAATCTTCCAACGTTTTTCCTTCTTTTGCTGCACCACACAGCCTGTGGATCTAGTTCTCCAACCAGGTATTAAACCCACACCCCTGCAGTGAAAACACTGGGTCCTAACCACTGGACCTCCAGGAATTCCCAGAAATCGTCCAACTTTTAATGACAGCAACTAACTCAAATGTTTAAAACTCTCTGTGCAGATAAACCCCATCTGGGGGCTGACTTTGGACCATATAGAAATGGGCTCTCTAGCCAAGAGAAGAGTGGACAGCCAGCCATGGCCCACACCTGTCCAGTCTGGGGTCAGGGGGCCTCCCAAGTTCTGGGGGCTGAAGGAGAGTCAGGGTCAGCAGTGGGTGCCAAGGCCCCAGGGCCAGCGCACGCGCCCTCCCGAAGCCCAGATGACATCACCAACCAGAAGACCCTCACCCACTGCAGCTGCTCAAAGACACTGAAGGGGAAGACGGTGCCAGCGGGCTCTGTCCTGGAGATAAAAGACCTGTGAACTTAAAACAAGACCTGGAATGAAAAATCCCGACACGTTCACGTCTTTCAGAAGGCAGCATTTAAGGAAGTGGACAGCAGTGCAGCAAATGGTCAGCCTCATAAAAGGAAGGATGGGAGAGAGGGAGGGAGGTGGGAGGAAATCCATTTCTAGTCTCAGTTAAACCCATGGTTTCGAATGTAATTGAGGAATAAAGGGATTCAAATCCAAAAGGCAAGAGTTGAAAGAGTATTGTGTGTAAGTTCTACTGCACTGACCTTTACTGTGGGTAAAACACACTGCGCATCTTGAAGGCTAAGGCCAAGTCAAGCCCGAGTCAGTTTTGCTAAAGACCCAATCAGAAACATATTGCACTATAACATCTGAACACAGAGGTGAACAGTAAAACAGACTATTCATTCACATCGCCTGCCCACAGGCAACTACTATTAACAGCTAGACGTGCAGACTGCCAGCTCTTTTACCATGCTGTTGTAAAGCTTCTCTCTCTCTAAAAAGTAATAAACAGGGTCATGTTACAGACATGGCACGTATTCGTAGCACAGTGGTTTTTAAAAAGTCCTTCAACACTTGGCTTTGCCTGTATACCAGAATCCCAACTTCTTTCCCGGTCTGAGAATCCTGTACGGGTTGGGCATCTGCCCCTCTGGCCCAGCCCGTCTTCCTGCTATTCCTGGAGCGAGCCCAGCTCCACCCCGCCACCTGGGACCTGCGGCTTCTGCTGCCTCAGCTGCAGACCCGCCTTCCCTGGAACCTCCTGCAGCCGGCTCCCTCTCCCAACGCGGGTCTCAGCCCCACGCACGGCACCACTTTGAGGACAGCTTCCCGAACCCCACCCCGGGATGCTCCTGGCCCGCTGCTGCTCTATAACGTCACTCTGATTTCTCTGTTTCACGTCGTTTCTTTTTTAAAAATTATCTATCTATGGCTGCACTGAGTCTCCGTTCCTTCCCTCGGGTTTTCTCTATTTGCAGCGAGCGGGGACGACTCCTCGTTGCGTGTGCAGGCTCCAGGTGCTCGGGATTCAGCAGCTGCAGCTCACGGGCCCTAGAGCATCCGGGCTTCAGTGGTTGCGAAACTCCAGCTCAGCAGTTAGAAGCTCACGGGCCCTAGAGCATCCGGGCTTCAGCAGTTGTGGAACTCCAGCTCAGCAGTTTGCGGCTCATGGGTTCTAGAGCTCGGGCTCAGTAACTGTGGCGCGCGGGCTTAGCTGCTCTGCGGCATGCGGAAGCTTCCCGGACCAGGGACTGACATGTCCTGAGTTAGCAGGCAGATTCTTACCTACTGCACCACCAGGGAAGTCCGGGGGGCACTGGTATGATCATATCCTCCACTTCACATAAGGAAGTGGAAGCTCACACTGGTTCAGTCTGCTGTCTGAGATCACACAGCTAATGAGGGGTGGGGGTATGATTCCAACCAGGTCTGTCTGGTGCCCTTAACTGCTGCGTTCTACACACACAGATTTACACAGGGAGCGTGGCCTGAGACAGGAGGGGCAGAGCACAAAGAGAAAGGAGCGGCAGCCCTGAGGTCGCCCTTCCCGGTGCTGCGTTTACAGTAACGGGCGGTTCCCGCTTCTCTGAAAACCCTGCGAGACAAACATCCCACCCACAAAGCGTGGGCAGAGCCAGCCTGCTACTCAGAGGTGAACGAGCGTGCTCTTGGCTCTCTTAGGCCCCATCAGCGTGTCCCTAAGGAAACGAAACTCCTGCGAACGGAAAACACTGCCTCTCTGAAGAAAGGACAAGAAAAACACCTCCTTGTTTTAATCACAGATTATGAAAGGACGCATGAAATGTATGTTTGCCAATAAGTACTCAGTGTTCCTCTCAAGGGGGGTGGGACACGATTTAGAAAAACCCGTGTAAAAACAGTGAGTCACTAGAGCCAAGTGACTCACAGGCAGTGTTCACGGAACAGCCAACAGACAAGGGGAGCATGGGACGGCAGGACCAGGACGGAGTTATCCAGGAGGACTGGCTTGGCGTTCGAAACAAGCGAGGCCCCGAGGCTCACAAGCTTCTCCAGCGAGAACAGCCAGAGTCCGCGCGCTCCTTCCTCCATGGCAAGACCTTCTCACAGAGAACCCACCATGCATGACACCAGACACTGACCTGAAGGAAAGAGGATTCTGTTCAACAGCAGAGGAACAGAAAAAAATTTCAAGAAACCAACAGAAATGTACTAAATTTGATAAAAGTCATAAACTTTACATAAACTATAAACCCATGAAGTTCAAGAAATCCCAAGAGGAACATGAGACAAATTATATCGAGGCACATCGAAATCAAATTGCCACATACCTATATCAACATGGCTAGCTTTTAAAATTAAAATTAAGTATTGGTGAGGATGTGAAGCAGCTGAAACTCTTCCATACATTCTGGTGGGAATGCAAAATGGTCCAGTCACTCTGTAAAACACCTGGCAGTTTCTGATGAAGTAAAGTATACACCTACTGTAAAACCAGGCAAATTTACTTCTAAGTATTTATCTAAGATTAATGGACGTATACACATTAACAGTCAAAGTCTGGAAAACCCCAAATGTCCTTCGGATGGTGAATGGAAAAAACAGCTCAGTAAGAATGTATAAACTATGGATACAGCAAAAATGTAGTGTCTCTCAAGAACATTATGAGAGCTGAAAAAAATAAGTCACAAAAGACTACATACTACATGATTCCCTTCATATGACGTTTATATTCTGGAAAAGGCAAAACCACAGTGAAAGAACGCAGGCCAGTGGGTGACAGCACCTGGTGGCAGCCCTTGGCAGTCAGACCCCGTGCTCTGAGTGAAGGCCCTTCAGAGGGCTTGCTTTGAGAAAGAGGCAACCTGGGAAGAGAGATTTTGATCTCTGCTACAGGATGGCGGTAAAGAGAAAAAGGTGACCACGGCAACACTTGAGTTCCTGCATCCAGCCAGGTCTAAATCCAGACTCTCCCTAGAGATCCAGGAAGCCCTTTTTATTGCTCAAGCTCTTGTGAGTCGTGTCTTATGACTGAAAGTGACCCAAGCGACAGAAGCTCTTTCTCCAGGCTGGATAACGCGCTGTCCACCCCCGCAATCCAAGGCCCTCCATCGCTTACCCGAGAGCGAGATCCCTTCTGCGAGCCCGTACGGAAGGTAGGCAAAGATGATCATCATGCCAAACTCCAAGGAAGGCGTTTTCCTCAGGTCAATGTGCTTCAGCACGTAAATGACAACGGTCAAGGAAAAAGAACCCAAGGACCTTTACGGGTGATCTAGAGAAGTCACAAAACCACGGCCTTCCAAATAGAAAGGGTAAACACTGGATACAAAGATGTGGGAACACCTCAAGGTAACGAGTGAAAAATCTGTCATTACAGACTTTTTCCTCAGTTGGGAGGACTCCTGTTTTAAGGAAGGGAATCTGACAGAATACTGAGAGATGTAAATTCTGAGACAAGCAACAGGGGAACACTAAAGTCACCCAAGTCAACTCCTTTGGAAAGGCCGACTTGGAGGGCCCGGGAGCAGCAGGGGCAGAGCCAGGCCGGCAGAGACTGAGCACAGCGCACTCTGCCAGGTGCTCCCGGGGCCACGACCCCCTCCGCCAGACGAGGTCACGACGGGGTTCCCAGAGCCGTGGGGGCCAGTGCGCTGCTGCCGGACTTCTCTCCTGCCCCCGGACCTTTATAAACCCGCGCTCCCGTGACAGGAGAGTCTTCCGCGCACTCACCTGTCGCTGGCAGGCCGGTGCTGGCGCCCACGGCACCCGTCTACCTGGCTTCAGTAAGGCAGAGGCTCTCCCCCTCCTCCACCCTTCCAAAGAAAGCCATAAATGCAGAGGAAAATACTGAACTAGAAAAAGTCTTCTTTTCCATTCTGTTTATTGGTACAATGTGAGAAGCTGTCAGCCGACTCAACAGAGCCTTGAGACTTCTGGACGTAGGAACTGAAGGGAAAATTCAACAGGATGGCAGACACACGTGTCTGTCTGAGGCAGAAGCCGCTTTTCTGTCCGTCTGCGAGGCAGACTGCTCACGGAGGAAGGCCAGGTGGCCATCTCCCCGAGATGCACACAGGCTCAGGCGCACACAGGAATGGTCTGGGGCCTGTTTCTGTTTTAAACACGACAAATTTTCTACAACAATAAAGGTGTCAGTGGCCTTAACGAGTTTGTTTCTCTGGCTGGAAGAGCTTGTGGGTTGTTAAGCCACAAAATCAGTGCGAATAACTTAGATAGAGCTCATTTTGAAAGTCTCTTTCCTGGTTCATCCAGATAAATACTTTCAGTGGGGGTAGAGATCGTCTCAATTTGACATTTTCAAAGGAAATTAATTTCCAATTTTCTTAATGTGAAAAGTGAGATGGTGGAAAATAAAATTCATCTGAATGCAGTTTTCATACCCTGGGAACTGAGGAGACCCCAAAATCAGATCTGATATTCAACCATGTACATGTTTTTTTAAGCTCTGAAAAGTGACATGCTACATTTCACGTGTTAAATTTTAAAATCCTTGAGTTTAAAGTGTTCTTCAAACCCAAACTAAACATAAAAACACTCCTTAAATATGACTTTAGTCTACAATTGGTCCTCTTAAGGAACTGGAGAAAATGACGAGAGATGGATGTAATTAGGAATAATCTTCCTGGCCACGCATGTTCATCATATTAAAAGGATATCAATGCAGATATTAAGCCAGTGAGAGTGCCAAGTGCCGCAGAGCCAAAGAACATTTTGAGGAAGTAGCCAAGGGCTTGTAAAAACGTCTGCCACCCACTGACATCTGACATATTTTTTCTTGTTAAACCTTCAGCTGTGCTAGGAAATAAAAGAAGTTAAAATGTTATAGACAAAGTTATTAGAAATTAACTTAGGACTCAAAACTTAACTTCTTGCTTAATCTCTCATTCATTCATTCCATCCTTCAACCTGTTAGCCAAACATTTGTTCATCTACTTTGTTCCAGGCAGTGTGTTAGTTTCTGGGGGTCCAGAGGTAAGAGCAGGTCCCTGCCCTTAGGGAGTCAAGTACTCTAATAGGGGAGAAAAACAGATGGGGGCACGTCCCTGGTGGGCCAGTGGCTAAGACTCCAAGCTCCCAATGCGGGGGACCCGGGCTTCATCCCTGGTCAGGGAACTAGATTCAACTGAGAGTTCTCATGCCGCAAGAAAGATCCCATGAGACAAACTAACACCCTGCGCAGCCAAAAATAAGAGACACAGATACATGCACACAAAGACGGAGCTAGGACCATCTCATGTCAACTACAAATGGGCGCTTGCCAAGGGCATTTGCCATCTGCCTCTGTGCAGACTGAACCCTGCGCTGCTGACCCGCAACACACACCCCCTGCAGGGACTTCAGGGTGGAGAATGAGGCACTTTGTGCTCCAGGGAAACTGGTGGAACAGGTCTTTAGATAGTTATTTTCAGGAACTGATTTCATGATCCCAATCCTTGCATCTCCTAGTATCTGGAGCACTAAATCCCTTCATGATGACATCAGCTCCTCGTGACTAGCAGAAAACCTTTTGTCAAGTAAGTGCTCGACTGCACTGAATGCTCCTTTCACCAAAATCATATAAGCTGACCTTCCCCCAGTGCCTCTTTTTTGAGATTTTTCCCCTCCACTGCCTCTTTGGAGCAGTTTCTCAGAGCTGGCTGAGGTGCCGTCTCCTGGGCTGCAGTCCTCATTTTGCTCCAAATAAAACTGAACTCACAGCTCTTAGGCTGGGCATCATCTTCAGTCAACGTCAGGAGAGAGCAGAGGAGACACACGGCGGCACCTGACTCAGACAGGTGAGGGCCGGAGCAGGTTCTCTATGACACATGGGCTAGGTTTCGACTTAGGCTAAAGAAGAGTTAGCGAGGTGAAGAAATGAGGGAACGCACTCAGGGCAGGGGGAAGAGCGCGTGAGGAGGCAGGGAGCCTCCAGGCACCAGCAGCACGCAGGTGCTGTGCCTAGTCGCTCAGCTGTGTCCGATTCCGCGACCCCGAGGACTGCAGCCCATCGGGCTCCTCTGTCCATGGGATTCTCCAGGCAAGAACACTTGAGTGGGTTGCTATGACCTCCTTCAGGGGAATCTTCCCGACCCAGGGATCGAGCCCAGCTAAGGAGCTGGTCTTTTATCCAGAAGGCCCGGAGGGGTCACAGGAGTGTTTTCAGGATGGAGTGGGGGTGGGGGAGTGGGGCTCCTGTGAGATACAAACCTGAAACTGAGGCTGTGGCATGAAGCCAGGTAGAACGGCACCGCCTCAAGAAGACATGTCTGTGGGTAAGGCCCAGAGTGGGGCCTGGAAGGGGTTAGCAGGAAGAATGTAAAGGACTTCCCCTTCACTACTAGACAGCAAAGAAAAATGTCAGCAGTCATTACATTCAAATGTTGGTTTCATCCCCAAAGGCAAAACCGTTTTACCATTAAAATGTTTATTCCTTTTAAGTATCTTCCTCCTGCTGATTACACCTTCTCTCAAATCCATCCACTTCCCTCCCTCCCTCCGCCATCCTCCTCCAGTCCAGGGCTTCTGCCTCTCCGATCCTTGCACATAAACATCCTGCTCTTTCTAGGAGAACCCAACACTCAGGGGCCTGAATTATCCCTTGAAAATGCACATCTGATCAGGTTACTGTCTGTTAGTCATCTAGTCATGTCCCATTCTTTGCGACCCCAAGGACTGTAGCCTGTGGCCCACCAGGCTCGTCTCTGTCCGTGGGAGTCCAGGCAAGAACACTGAAGTGATTGCCATTCTCTTCTCCAGGGGATCTTCCTGACCCAGGGATGGAACCCAGGTCTCTTGCACTGCAGGGGGATTCCTTCCTGCTGAGCCACCTGGGAAGCCCCAATCAGGTTACTGGCCCGATCAAAACCCATCCTCAGTCTCCCGCTGCTTTTAAGAGGAAACCCAGTCTGGCCCTGATCCTGCCCACCACACCTCTGACCTCACCTCCTCCTATTCAGGCTGGGCCCCACTGCCACCGGCACCTCCCTGCAGGTCACAGCCATTCTTCCCGGGCTCCAGCTGACTCTGGTTTGTTCTCAGAACCCAGGGTCAGTGACCCTCCCTCAGGGACATCTGCCTCCCCACAGGCCGGCCCACTTACAGGCTCTCCTGGTGCCTAACGTGCCCTCCACAGCACGCCGAACTAGTGAATCATCCATGAGGACCACGCCTGTGCCCACCTTACTCACTGCCGTACGTCCAGGCCCTAGCACAGAGCCCAGCACACAGAAGGCACTCAACAAGCTTTTGCTGAAGCAGTGAACAAAACAAAGACTTGTCTAGAGTAACATTCGGCCTCATTCATCAGTGCTTCATGAACTGGTATCGTTTTTAAGAGTTGTTTTTTCTTTTTAATTTTATTTATTTGTTTTTGGCCGTGCGAGCAGGGGCTCCTCCCTAGTTGTGGCGGCGGGCTCCTCACTGTGGTGGCTGCTCTTGTTGTAGAGCCCGGGCTCTAGGGTAAGTGGGCTTCAGTAGTTGTGGTGCACGGGCTTGAGTTGCCCTGCAGCATGGGATATCTTCCCGGACCAGGGATCGAACCTGCATCCTCTGCACTGGCAGGTCGATTCCTGACCCCTGGATGCCCAGGGAAGTCCTGAGTTGGTATAACGGTTTTGCGGGGGGTGGGAGGGGGTGGAGGTGTTTCTTTTTCGCTGTGCTGGGTCTTTGTTGCCGTGGGGCTTTTCTCTAGCTGCAAGCTGGGGCAGCTCTCCAGCTGTGGGGCGGGGCTGCTCAGTGCGGACACAGGCTCTGGGCTCACAGGCTTCAGCAGTTGTGGCTCCCGGGCTCCAGAGCACAGGCTCAACAGCTGTGGAGCACGGCCTCCCAGACCACGGATTGAACCCGGGTCTCCTGCACTGGCAGCACTTTCTTTACCACTGAGCCACCAGGGAAGCCCCAAACTGGCATAACTTTAAAGCAGGATCATCTCAGGAAGTCCCAGGCGGCCCGGTGGCCAGGACTCCGGGTTCGCACGGCTGAGGACCTGGGGCTCAATCCCTGATCAGGGAACCAAAATCCCACAAGTTGTGTGGTACAGCCAGTTAAACAAAAAAAAGGGCAGGATAATCTCTGATAAAAAGATGGCTTGGTCAGATAACCTCAGCCTTTTGTGGTGATTCATAGCACAATATAACATAGTAAAGGTTTTAAAAAGTCCTGCAAAAAAAGAAAACTAACTTTTCTCACATAAATGTTTTCCAAACTCACTCCAATCACCCCCATTCCTATTCTTTCCCAGCAGATCATGGGTTAACACCCCACCGAGGGGAATGCTGGGAACCAACAGGGTTCTTATTGGGAAAGTGCTTTTGAAGGCAAACGGCACCTCTAGCTCTCATGTGGATCCATGGATGACATGAGTAGTGTCCTGCCCTCACCCCATTTCATGACCACAGCTAGGATGCTGGCTGGTGTCACTGCTTTCTTTTCACGCAAAGGAGGCTGAGGTCCAAAGACAGTGGCTAATGGGTGAGGTCACAACAATGGTTAACAGCAGACCCCAGGCCAAGGCCAGTGGTTTCTGAACTAAGGATAAATGAAGAGAGAATTCAGATCTTTTCTGGCCTGAAGATTTTGTGCATTTTATTTTTCTTCAGGCCATGTTTCTCACACCTTAAAGAATAAAAAATAATACTGATTCAGGATCCATTTCATGAGCTTTAGCTGCAGCTGGAAAGAACAAAGGTTTCTACAGCAATTATTTTAAGAATAGGCTGTCACAGCAACAAATCAAAGCTAAAAATAATTTAATTAAGGTTAATGAAGGAAACAGGAGATACTTAGCTTTTCTGGCATTTATGAAAGTGAAAACATTTAAAAAAGGGGGTAGTTCATCAACATCTTCGGTTACAAAGATAAATGGATCATCATCAGATCACTCTGAAAACGGTCATTTATGAAGCATACATTGAAAACAAGATGTGATTCTTCCTTGTAACCAAGGGAAGCTGACAACACCTCCCTCCTACAAGCAGACACAAGGCAGGCCTGCCACGCCCCCTCTCCCCTGCCTCCCTCCTCTACCTGAAAATGCCAGTGGGCTCACAGTCAGAGAGACTGATGCAGGTCAGTGACTCCCGCCCCAACCTGTGCACCAGCATCAGAGGAGGTGAAGCTGGAAACGACCTATGCATGTGGCCCACTGATCCAATTCTGGGAACTGTCATCAGAGGTGATCCTGGCCTTCAAAAGTACTTTTCCAGAAAGAATGTGTGGCTAGTTACAGTGACTCTCTCCTTTCTCATTTTAAAAAAGAAAGTATCTCCTAAGCTTTGGCCTTTTTTTGTGGCAAAGAGACCTGGAAAAGCTCAGAACTAAGATTCTACCTCGAGAGATTTAGGAAAAAAATAAATCAGAGACAAATTAGTTGAGTTTAGCTCCTAATCTATAAAAATAACTCATGATGTCACCTCCAATTTAGGCAAATTTTTTTTTTTTTAATTATTCATTCATGGCTGCGTCGGGTCTTAGCTGCAGCACACAGGCTCCTTGCTGCAGTGCGTGTGCTCCTGAGTATGTCGGATCTTGGTTCCCTGGCCAGGGGTCGAACCCACGTGTCCTGCACTGGAAGGCGGATCCTTATCTACTGGACCACCAGGGAAGTCCCTTGGCAAAACTCTTTATCACAAATGTTCAAATGCACAGCCAGGACTCAAGATAAAAGTAAAGACCAGAAAGCTAAGCAGTTTTCAAAGCAGATCTTAAAAAAAATTATTGCCATCAGGTTATTTTTTAAAGGTCTTACAGCATGGTATATGATAATCTCCTAACAAAGCTATAAAAAGTTTTAAGCTAAACGTTAAAAAAGCCAATAACAGGGAACTGGTCAAAGAGATCGTGGTAAATCCATAGAAGGAACACTCTACAACTGGTAAAATGATGTTATAGAAGACTATTTTATCGACTCTGTTTAGTGGAAATATTACAATACAGTATATAGCCATCTAAATAGAACACAGTTTAAAAAGACCTGATGCTGGGAAAGATTGAGGGCAAGAGGAGAAGGGGACAACAGAGGATGAGATGGTTGGATGGCATCACCGACTCAATGGACATGGGTTTGGGTAGACTCCGGCAGTTGGCGATGGACAGAGAGGCCTGGCGTGCTGCGGTTCATGGGGTCGCAAAGAGTTGGACACTGAGAGACTGAAATGAACTGATACATCTACCAAACTGTTAACTGTAATTATCTCTGGGGAGTTACAATGCATGTATTGTTTTCTTTTTTTTTCTTCTTCCTTTTGGAGTTTTCTAAATTTTATATGCAGAATATATGTATTATTTTAGAATATATACATGTATTTCTGTTTTGTTTAAGGTCTGGTGAGCCCCTCTTTCAATTAAACAACATTTGGTAAGTTCTTCCTGCAAAAGGAGGACAAAAACAGACAAACCAGAAACAACAGCTGGGGGGACAAGGGCAGAAGATGAAAGGATCTCACATTAACTGATGGCAGATGCTTCTGTTTTTAAAAAACATTTATTTGTGGCTGTATTGGGTCTTAGCTTCTCTCTAGCTGTGGTGTGTGGGCACGTAGGCTTTGTTATCTTGTGTCATGTGGGATCTTAGTTCCCCAATCAGGAATCAAACCCACATCCCCTGCATTGGAAGGCAGACTCTTTACCACTGGAACAGCAGGGAAGTCCCCTAATGGTAGATGCTTTTCACATAGTGTATTTACCTAGTCAATCCTCAACTTGAACCCTAGGCTGAGGCATTATCACCCTTACTTTAATGTTGAGACACCAGTGGCTCAAAGCGGTCAAAGAGCTGACTCAGGGTCAAACAGCTATGAGCAGCCATCACTGGGACTTGAACCCAGGTCAGTCTGACTCCAGGATCTGGGCTCTTCCCACTATAAAAATATCCTTTTATTCCAACACAAGAATTGTGGATGTAGTCTATAATGAGGCTTTTAAGAAAACCACTGAGTGGTTATGCTTTGCAAGGAATCCCACAACAAAGAAAGGAAGTCCAAACTCAGAAAAAGGAGAAACTGATCTTTAACAGGATACACAGCGGCCCCTAAAATCCTCTTGGCTCATCTCTGACGCCCTGCACAGGGCTCTCTTTTCCAGCAGTTTTGACTGTCTGCACCTTCTCTGGGTTTTGGTAGAACTGTCGGGCTCTCCTAGCCGTACCTGTTAACAAACACCACAGCTGCCGAGTGCTAGGGCAAGGAAACAGCCCCGCATCCAATAAATGCACGAGATGAACTCAGACCCTTTGCCCGGTGACTTTTTAAAAAATATTTATTATTATTTATTTGGCTGTGCTGGGTCTTAGGTGTGGCATCCAGAATCTTTAGTTATTGCATGCGGGATCTAGTTCCCTTGACCAGGGATTGAACCCAGGCCCCCTGCCTTGGAAGCAAGGAGTCTTAGCCACTGGACCACCAGGGAAGTAGCCGCAGAGACTTCCTGACATTTCATGACTCACCTACACAGCTACTATCAACACGGGCAGTAATACCAATGAACAACTGAAAACACCCCGCAACTTCCAAAGCAGCCTTCACACTAGAGCAGCTTAAGGCAGGATGTCCATCAGTATCATTACCTTATCTTATAGTGGCGAAAAGCCGGCGCCCTGCACCGGCTCACAGTGGAAGAACAGGGCCACTGCTGACTGTTTTCGCCTGGAATAATCCTGTCCAAATACTGATCCCTCAACTGGCTGCTCGGCTGTCCTCTGGGGACTCATCCCAGACCTACTGAATCAGGAGCTCTGAGGGTGTCGACTGGGAATGTGACATTTAATAAGCACCCCGGTGATGCAGATGACAAGTTGGGCTTAATTTAAAAGCACTGCTAAGGACCTCCCTGGTGGTCCAGTGGTTCAGACTGTGCTTTCAATGCAGAAGGCACGGGTTCGACCCCTGGTTGGGGAGCTAAGATCCCCTATGCTGTGTGGCAAGGTCTAAACAAATAAATAAAAGCACTGCTAAGAGGCAGGTCCTACAGGGCGGATTCTCCTCTAATCACCCTGGGCCTTGACAATATTCCTGGGGCACAGGAAGGTTTGTCAGGACAGAAGGATGGAGAAGCAGTGAGCCCATCAGCCACAGGACCAGCAGCTGTACATGCAACTGCATGGAGCTGTCTGCCTCCGACATGAGGCCCTTTAGTTCCGTGGCTTGAAGAAAGCACACTTACTTGGTCAGGACAATGGAGACGGCGTCATTGAGAATGCTCTCTCCAAACACCAGCATGTTGAGCACTGGGTCCACATGAAGGGCGTTGAAAATAGCAATAGTGGCTACTGGATCAACAGCAGAAATCAGGGAGCCAAATGCAAAACTGTGGAGAAGAGAAAAGGAAGGGGCAACTCTGTAATGCTTTAACCCCTGGTCCACAGGGTAAAACTAAGTCAGCCTACTCAGTGTAAGAAAGCGGGGCACAGTGCAGCTGAAGGAGCTACAGAAGGTGGTGTCTAGTCTTCCACTTAAAGCGCCTGCTGATTAACACTGTGGGTGGAGCAGTGACAGGTCCACTCCACAAGGAGCTCTGAGCAGTGGCCTGGTTTTCCACCGCGAGAACGGAGCCTTCATCTTGAGCAGGGACAGAAGGCAGGCTTCTGCTTAAACACATGACGGACATCCCAGCCTTCTTGGTCAGGGCAGCTGGAGCCATGGCCCCCAAAGGGCCCATGTGCTCCTGGGCCTGACCTGTGCTTTGCCCCTTGTCACCAGGCCACCAGAGTACCGTCTGTGACGGTCGCCAGCCTCCAGTCAGATTTGCAACATCTCAGGAAGTGCCAAAAGTCCGCAGCACTTCCAGCGTGCTCCAGGGGCCAGGCGGCATGGGTGGCAGACATCAAAACCAGGGCTGCCTCCCACCAGGCCAGTGCTCTCAGCCCAGCAACCACGAAGGTCTAATTCCTCCAATACACATGCACTAATCGCCTACTTTGTTTCAAGCACTGAGGCTAATAATAACAGCAAATACTTATGTGGTACTTACCATGTCCCAGGCACTGTTCTAAGCGCTTTACAGACAGTAACTCAATAATCCACACAGCAACAGTATGAAACCAGTTTGCATCTCACACTGCCCCGCTTACACAGGAGAAAACTGAGGGACGATGAGGTTAAGGGCCCTGCCCAAGCAGGATGCAAACACAGGCCAGCTGACTCGGAGTGGGAGCTCTGACCCGCTACGCCGGACACAGCAATGCCCGGGGGCCAAGACCAGTTCAGGAAACGGCCAGTGCTACACAGAAGTCAGGGTGATGGGAATAATGTGGCAGGACGGTGTGGGTGGGGACCCCTCAGATCGGGGGGCCAGGAAAGGCCTCTCTGAAGAGATAAGGATCACTGAAACAAGGGCCTGCGTGACAGAAAGCAGGTGGCCAAGCCAAGGCACTGGGTGGGGGCAGTGACCAGAGTAAGCTCCCTGGAGGTGGAGCAAGCTTGGTTGCCTGAGACCTGGCAGCGGTGCAGTGAGCCAGAGTGGCCGGAGACATGGGGGCTGGGAGGGAGGCAAGGCCAGGTCACCCCTGGGGGCTGCCTAAGGGGTTGGGACGGTTATTCTCTCACCCATGTGTCTGTTTCCCCAAGAGTTCTTGCAAGCCTTCGATTCCCTCAAAAGGCTACGCCTGGCGCCGTTTTCCTGGAGCCATCAGGGGACAGTCTCTGGCCCATCCACCCGCTTCCAGCCCTCCCTTCTGGGAGGGAAGAGGGGCTACTTGGCCTGGGACCAGGGCGTGCTGTCCTCTGGATGTCCCCGGCAGCTTCCGTGCTCATCCAGCTCTGAGCTCAGGGAGAGGAGTGGCTGGCAGGAGGGGACTCCTGGCTGCCTGGCCAGCTACAGAGCTCTTCATACATCAAGAACCCGGCCTTCTGGTTTCCGTGATAGTGCCCTGGGAGCTGGGTTAATGTGCACTCACACGGGAAAGCCTGCTCACTTTGAGGATGGTCTCCAGGTCCCAAGCTGAGGAACAGACCCTGAAAGACAGGCTCAGCTCAGACTGCAGTTCTCAGACTTGGCCTGTCCCCACAGAGACTGTCATGCACTTTACAAGCTGTGACTTTACCTCTTTCCCCCACCGTGAGCGCCCAGGCGGTGGGTGCCATGCTTTAGTCACGGGTGTGTTCTCAGGCTCTGAACTGCTATTTGGGGAAGGCAGGCAGGCGGGAGGGCGGGAGAGGTAATCCCACCAACCCAGGAGGCTGTGAGCTGCTGGCGGCTGGCCTTGAGGCCCTCGCTCTGCAGCCCACAGAACATAAAGGGCCTCGAAGGAAGAAGAATGTCTAAAAGCTACATCTTGGGGACTTCCTTGGTGGTCCAGTGGTTAGGACGCCTCGATTTCACTGCAGAGGCCCGAGTTCAATCCCTGGTTGGGGAACTAAGATCCTGAAAGCAGTGAGTTGCAGCCAAAAATTTTACAAAGTACATCCCGAAGTGGCGTGGGGACCTGGGAGCCGTGGGTGGATCGTGCATCGGGCACTGACTTTGTGTGGCTCGGCCGGCCCTCCCCTCGTCCTTCAGGGGGCACCCACAGCCCCAGTTCCAGTGAGCGCCCTCCAGCTTTCCTTTGTGGAGCCCAGCCCCCTCCACCCTCCAGCTGCGGAGTTCTGTGGGCTTCGAGGAGTAGGCAGGGGACCCAAGCCTGGTCAGAGGACCATCAGCAGGCATCTTATCAGGTCACCGGGAATCCGGCTGGCCCTCCTGGCAGGGGTGGATGAAGTGAGGGGGACCGTGAGCCTGGAGCCTCTGGTGCGGCCTAGCGGGGTGAGCACGCCCGCAGTGAGGCTGACCAGGGAAAGGCTGAGCAAAGACAGAGAGGGCAGGGGTTCCGGACACCGGGTCCCCAGAGGCTGTCGTGCAGGAAGTCGTGGCTCTGGGGACACTTCAGTTCCATGAGTCAACAAACTGCTTTTTTTTTTTCTAAAACGAGTTGGTGCCGGGTTTCAGCTGCACCAAAGAGGACTGACTGCTGCTCTCTGCAACAGTCCCGTGGCATCCTGACCTGGAAATCGAACAGCGGGAAGGAGAAGGCGGACTAATGAATGGACACAGGGATGGAGAGATGGCCAGACCTGTGTTACAGCAAATCTAGCTCAACAGTGACTGTGGGATCCAGGTGGTCATGTGCAGGCTGCGCCTCCCCCTTCTTGGGTGTCTGAAATTCCCCTAAGAAGTAAGGGGAGACGCGCCTGGCACAGACCGTAGAGCACATATGGCTTTGGTTGTGAATCTAAACTAGGGCACAGTGTTTCTGACAGAGAACATGGAAAGGCTGAACTATGAACTGTCTGGATCATGGAGAGCTCTGCCTCTAAGCGGTCACTGAACCTTGCCCTCAGATGCTCCACTTCACACCTCAGGATCCAGTCTTTCAAAGGCCAGGAGCCGGAAGTTCACCTGAACAATGCATTTTCTTGAGTCTGTCATCCCCGAAGATAGGAAGGTCCACAAAACAGAAAGAAAATGGACTGGGGTGGTGAAATAATACAGCGTGCATCTACAAGGGAACTCGCTTTCTGGTAGAAACACCCATAAAGTAAAATCTTCTGTGCAACAAAGTTAATTTCATGTTTTCTACAGTGCAGAGTTCCACACGTGACCTGCATGGTGGTTTATTTTTATTTTTTTATGATTTTAAAAAGTACTCTATCATTTTTTTTGTTTTGCATGGTGTTTTAAACTGGATTAAGTTGCCAACATTTAAAACTGGAAAAATTCCCTATTAAAATCTAGAAACTTGGCCTCTTTTGAATTAAAAAATTAGGTATCTAGTCATTCTGGGCCCATGTTTCTACATAGTAATTACTAGATGCAGCTAAGAGGTGGCAGTCCCCTTCAGACAAGAGTGGGCTCCCTGGTTCACCACCGTCACCAGCTCTAGACACACACCTGGCCAGCTTCCTTCTGTGAAGGGTTCCGCCAGGCCCTGCAGCTGTGTGGTTTATAACCGCGAGCTAATTTCCCCAGAGGACACCCCCTCCCACCCCCACAATCTGTGCGACAGTCACTTTCTAACAGGAAAGGAAGTGTCTGCCCACATAGAAACTCCACCTGGATCTTACTCTGCTTGTCGAAGGGCCAATCCTTTTATTCCTCACTTCCTGAACATCCCATCCACCCGTCCCATTCAATGCCACAAGGATTTATCAAGTATTTTTTGTCTCTCTAACCAACTGTCCCCAGACAGGCTGAAGGACTGAATGCTATATCTGCCTTTACAGCCACTGAGCTTTGAGCATTTCTTTTCAGTTGCAAAACACCTACAAAGTACAGGCCATCAATTCTGCTCTGCTTCCTGCTCCCTGTGAAACAAGAATGCGTCTTTCCCTCCGTGTTTATATATCGAGACTATCTTACAACAAAAGCTTTGAAATCTATGTCCCTGGAGAGAAAACGAGATTGGACTTGATGTTATGGAAGGCACATTTCCCATGAAAAGGGCTCCAAGGTGCTGCTGTAGAGGCTGAGCGCTCTCGCTGGTCCAGTGAAAGGCCCCCGGGGCTGAGTGCCGGGTTCAAGCGCCCCAGCCGGGCCAGAGGACAGAACCCAGGGTTCTTGGCAGAGAAACACAGAGATGGGTTGCAGTCTCACTGGCCATCTCGGCAAGGAGAAACCAGGTCACACTCTGTGTGTGCACCTTTTTTAGCACTAGATCTGGTACCTTCCAAGAGACAGCTGCCTAGGTTGCTTCCTGCTAAGTTGATTATGGAAATTCCTGGATCGGGCTCCTAGACAGCAGCTCTGAGTGTCCGAGTAGCTTCAGCCTGGGGCGGGTGCCCACAACAGAGGCCCTGCCCTGCCTGCTTCCACTGCCCCCTCCCCACTCCCTTTAGTGGGAATCCCAGAGCAAAGACCGACACCTCACCCCTGACTCCATCCCAACCTGTCAAGGAGACAAATTTCCATTATGACTATTGAAAAGCTCTAGAAATGAGCTGCAGGTGATCTCTAATAATAAAAGGACAAATGTGTAGTAGCCTGCAGTGTGTGTGTATGTGTGTGTGAGGGGGCCAGTTAATGAATCAAGAGTTATTCCCTTGAAACCTGAAACTAAATCATTCCCGTCAGCAACTCTCTGACTAGAGATCTTCAACATTCTTCAAGATAGTTTTGATTCATTTTGGAGATACACATTAATTCAGAATAGATTCTACAGCAGAAATCACCAGCCAAACCAAGAGACACAATAGAGAAGTCAGGAATCAATATGGAGAAAACTTTCCCCAGTAAGAAAGTACAGCCACACAGGTGTTGCAGTATGAAAGGTTTACCTGTCTGTCATGTTGAGTTTAGAGATTACATCAGCCTGTAAAATAAAACACACAAACACAGACACACACAAAAAAAACCCCTGGAGAACAGCCAAGAAGATTAAAATGTCCATTAGTGTTTTATTACAGACTAATAAGGACATTAATCTTCATTCCCCAAACCACTTGAAAAATACAGAAAACTCCTAAGTTTTAGTTTAGGCATGCATCTGATCATCATACATCAAAAGTATGACAGAGAATGCTACATTCCTCAAGCTAAATTAACTAGTTTTCTTCTCTAAAGTTTATTCTCCTTTGATGCTGGAAGCTGAACAATGAAGAAGGCTGCATGACAGACAGATTTATTCTGGTGCCATCGAGGCAGTGGTAAAGGTGAAGATCAGACGGAGCCATCAAAAGAAGCAAACACATCTGACACATATTAAAGAAATCTGCCAGTCACCCCAAGGCCTGAACTTCAAACTCCATTTGTAGAACTGGGGTCGACAAACTTTCTACAACTGACCGTATTGGAAAAGAACTGGGACATGCAATAGACATGCATAAGGCAAAGCCATAGATACTACCTTCCTAGGTAAGTCTGAATTAATTAATTCAAATTAATTTGAACTCAAAATACAAAGCACTCAACTGATGACACTGGGAACTGCTTTAGGAATGGTGGAGAATCCAGGGAAGATAATTCTACAGGACAGCTTGGAATGGAGTGAACACATTCACAACCATACTTGATTTTTAAAATGCAAATTTTTATTAAAGAAACAGAAATTTAACTTTGCTTCAGTCTGATAACATAACTGATATTGTTATAATTTGAAGATCTTGATGGTATATATTCTGCTTTATTTTTAGGTATTCCAACTTAAGACAATATTGGTTTGCAAATATGATCAAATACTTTGGGGGATTATGGAAAAGATTCACTCAATTCCAGACAGCAAAGCTTCTCGAGGATGCTGAGAAACAACTTGAGCACGCCTTTACTGTGCCTGTTTGACTTTGGATTTCTTTGCAGGAGAGTATTTACCTTGAGTGGAAACCCAGGTCCCATCAGGTGTTCCTACCCCACTTTCCTGCACAAGCTCTAAGAATATAAGGTTTTCAAGGTTTTTCAAAGATATTTTCCTTACCTGGCCCAGAAAGTAAATTCCTCCACCTACAACAAAAGCGGAAATTGCTGTACCAAAAACAGCAAATAGGGTGATGGAACCAATATTTTGAAAGAAATTACCCTGTTTGAAAGAGCAGAGATGAGAGAAATGATTAGAAAGGCTGGTCTGGTCAGTGAAGTCACGTACACCACAACCGGCCCTCCTTACATGCTTGAATCTCTGTAAAGGGCACCATCACCCTCCGGGGTTGGCAAGCTGGAAACCTGGACACCCTCCCTCACCCCCTCCTGCAGTGCAGAGCCAGTCCCGTGGCATCTGCCCTCCCCACGTCACTCACATCTCTGCTTCTCCCCACTGCCCCTGCCAGCGGCCACCATCTCCCCCCTGGACTAGTGCACAGCTTTTAATAATAATAAGTTTCAACCATCCCTGGCCTTGCCCTCTGCTCTTCAAGGGCTTCCAGAATGATCTTTGCAAAAGATAAATCTGGTAGTGTGCCTTCACTCTGACCCCCATTTCCACTCAAGATGTACATACAACGCAACCAAAGCCTGGATGGTTCGACCCCTTCAGTCCCAACTTCTCCTTTGCTCTCTGGGCTCCCAGTCACACTGGTAGCGTTTTTTTCCTTTTTAATTTATTTATCTGGCTGCACCAGGTCTTAGCTGCCGCCAACGGGATCTCTGATCTCCGCTGTGGCAAGCAGGATCTTTAGTTGCAGCATGTGGGATCCAGTTCTCCGACCAAGGGATGGAACCTGGGCCCCTGCACTGGGAGCTCGGGCCCTGAGCTCCTGGGCCACCAGGGAAGTCTCCTCACTGGGAGCTTTTTGTTCTTCAAATACATCGTCATACTCTCTGGGTTTGGCCCACTCCTCCTTCCCCTCTGCTTACTGAACCTTCAACATCCAAAGGCCTCAGCACATTTTTTACTCTCCCTGAGGGGAGCCTTCTCTGATCCCTCCACCAAGTCAGATTGCAGCCTATGTTCTTGATGCACAATGCCTCTTCTCCTGGAAGCACCTGACGCGGCTGAAGTGTGACATTTACTGATGTCATTACCTGACTGCTACCTGTCCCTCCCACTAGGCTGCAGGCTCAGGGCGGGCAATGACCACGTCTGCTCTGGTACAACACAGTCACTGGCAGATGCCTATCAGATGGATGATGCCCAGAGAACAGGTACTGAAGGAATTAACTGTGCTTCGTGTTTGATCAAAGCCCAAAGTCTATATAATGATACTTTTTTCAATTAATTAAGAAGAGGTACATTACTATAAAGAATGTAAAGGTTATGTCAATGTTATAGGTTATACTATCAGAAACTCCTTTTTGCTGTCCACATCTTTTAAACAATTTTATTGCACTCTTATTAGTGAAATAGAGTGAAATAAATATGACAAATATATTCCCATCTATACTTGACAGCACTTAAGAGAAAATATCTGAGTACAAGCAGTAGTAACATCTTTCACATATCCATTAAAGTTAAGAAAAACAAACTGTTTATTAGAATCCTGTGGACTCTACTTAGGGACAAGGCCAGGGAACCTTGATGGCCTTTGATTGTGGGCCTGAGAAAGGAATCCCATTTTTTTTTAGTCAGAAATTGTCAAGCCACAGACAAAAGGAACTGATACTTTTTTTTTGGCCGCATCATGCAGCTTGTGGGATCTTAAGTTCTCTAACTGGGGACTGAACCGGGCCCTTGGCAGTGAAAGCACTGAGCCCTAACCACTGGACTGATACTTTAAATCTAACTTCAAAAGACTGTCCTTAGCTCAACACCAAGAGCCCATTAAACCTATCTCCTTCAGGAAGTATCTTTCCTTCATTTTTTGCAATTTTGATTTGGCTGCCCACGATCTGACATTCAATTACTTTGGCATATCAATCTTTAGCACACAAAGAACTTTAAAATAACTTAAGGCAAACATAATGATTGGGTTCTTTCCTAAACAAAAGACTTTCATCTATGAGTTTTTCTTTGCCAAGAGCTGTTTTGTTTTTTTAAGAACAGATTATACTAACTCTTGGTCTGTTTATTTATGTGTGTTTAGTTGCTAAGTCATGTCCAACTCTGTGACCCCATGGACCGCAGCACCCCATGCTTCCCTGTCCTTCACTATCTTCTGGAGTTTGCTCAAATTCATGCCCACTGAGTCAGTGATGCCATCCAGCCATCTCATCCTCTGTCACCCCTTCTCCTCTTGTCCTCAATCTTTCCCGGCATCAGGGGCTTCTCCTGGTGCTTTCCTGGTGGCTCAGACGGTAAAGAATCCACCTGAAAGGCAGGAGAACCAGGTTCGATCCCTGGGTCAGGAAGATCCTCTGGAAAAGGGAATGGGTACCCACTCCAGTATTCTTGCCTGGAGAATTCCATAGTCAGAGAAGCCTGGCAGGCTATGATCCATGGGGACAGAGGAGCCTGGTACGTTACTGTCCATGCGGTTGCAAAAAGTCAGACATGACTGAGCGACCAACACTTTTGTCTGTTTACAGGGATCTAATTCTGTTATAACTTATGTAGTTGGCTAATATTAATCTGAATATTGAAAATTTACCAAAATTCAATTTACCCCACTATAAGAACTTCCCTTTGCTACATAAGGCAAATTAATCTGCTTCTCTCTGACATAATTAACGTTCTATTCTTTATATGATACTAATAATTCAAAGAAACCAAATAGCTGCCTACCTAATGCATATCAATTGATGATAATCATATGGAAATTTTTAGCCCAAACTCAAACTTACACAAGCAAATACAGCAATATTAAAATAAAACAAAGTCAACTTCCTATTCTTTAGGGACAAGTGCAGGCAGTGGACAGAAGTCTCTAAATTCACAGTTTCAACTCACATTAGTCCCTGTCACATAAACTGTCACATTTTCCACTGGAAAGTCATCTTCAAAGAAGTTTTCTCTCAAGAAACTATTTTCCTCAAAGTTTGAATAAGTTTATTTCCTCCTCCTCTGAAAAAATTAGAAGATAAAAACTTTACATGTGCTAATATAATAACCAGTGTCATGTTTTTAAGTCAAAAAATCATTTTGGGGAGTTCCAGTTCAGTGGTTAGGACTCAATGCTCTCACTGCCAAGGGCTCAGGTTCAAACCCTGGTCAGGAAACTAAAATCTCACGCCAAGCAGCACACCAAAAAGAAGACAATATGTACATGACTTTCTTCAGTGCTGTTGTGAAATATTTTCATAGTCAGCTCTCAGTTCTTTCAAGATTTGTCCACAAAATTAAAGAGTAAAAGACACTGATCTTCAAATCCTTCTTGCTTGTTTGTCTAACAATTATCTGATGTCAATGATACAAGATATAGGATTTTTTTAAACACTAAATTTTTTGTTCCTTTTTTCTTTGGGTTAACACACAGTAAAATGGTAACTAAAAAACTCCGGACTAAACATCTTAATTTTGCTTTACTATTCAGGAGGAAAACTAAAGATTTAATTTGTATGTTTTTACTAAAACTCTCACGACAAATTTAATTCTCAAGTTTATTATGTTATTAATATTATTTACTTTTTATTTATTTATTTTTAGTTGGAGTATAATTGCTTTACAATGTTATGTTAGTTTCTGCTGAACAAAGTGAATCAGCTGTATGTATAAATATATCCCCTATTAAATTCTTATTAATAACAACATTGCCTAGAGGCTCTGATTCTTTTTGATTTCCTGTACTGAAGCTCACCAGGGTCCTCTGTCCATAGAATTTCCCAGGCAAAAATACAGGACTGGGTTGCCATTTCCTTCTCCAAATAATAACTAGTCAGGTTATAACAGATATACAAGAAGCAATTATTTAATATGGTGAGTGGTGCTTTGCTTACATCCTTTCATCTAATGTAAATCTCAACGCAACCTAGGAGGTAGGGTTTGGGGATCTTTTTGGTCATTATTTTTAATTTCTACTCTACTCAAAAGGGGCATCTCCCATGGCTCAGCAGCAAAGAATCCACCTACAATGCAGGAGCCACAGGAGCCACGGGTTTGATCCCTGATCAGGAAGATCTCCTGGAGAAGATCTCCAGGATGGCAACCCACTCCAGTATTCCTGCCTGGAAAATCCCACGGACAGAGGAGCCTGGCGGGCTCCAGTCCACAGGGTCACAGTCAGACACCACTGAAGCGACTTAGCACGCAGGCACTACTCAAAAGGAACCCATAGGGGGCAGCGCACGACTAGACCTAGGTCTCTAGGTCCAAAATCCAGGCTCTTTTCCCTCTCCATGGACAGGCCAAACCTTGAGTCCTTCCAACCCTCATATTGTTTTAAAATCACATTTACAAAATAACTGTTGTATTACTAGTATTTTAAGTTGAATCACCTTCTTATTTCAAAACTTAAATACACAAATATTTAAAAAGAAGTCACAAAGAAAAGCCTAGGGTACACAAAATGAGACGCTCCTGCCCAGGCAGAAAGCGTCCAGCCGGAAGCTGGAGTACAGACCAGAAATGTCAGAGCAAAGCAGAGAACCAGGCGGGGCCAGATACTGAGCTGCAGGGTCGGGAGCCAAGAATGGGCAGAGCAACTATGGGAGTCAGTGAATAGGCCAGAAGGAGCTTGGAAGCCTGGGGGAAGGCCGCGCTCTTGTCTGGAGAGGAGGAGCAGGGCCAGGGAGGGGATGGGAAGGTGGCAAGGAACAGGGTCCAGGGGCTTAAGTCGGCTGGGAGTTGAGGCCCAGAGAAGGGCCTGAGGGCAGAGACTCTGAAGGGTGGGTGGGCCGAAGGAGGGAGAGAGGGAGGAACCAGCAGGCCTGGGGCACCCATCCTGTCATCACAGGACACAGTCTGACTTTTTAGCATGGGTTAGCCTGACTCTAAGAGGAGTGAGTATAACATCCATGTGCCATTAAAATCACTTTGGGAAATGGAAAAAAAAAATAAAATCACTTTGGGAGATTTTTCTGGTGGTCCAGTGGTACAGAAATACACCTTCCAATGCAGGGGATGTGGGTTTGATCCCTGCTCAGAGCCAAAAGCCCACATACCTCGGGGTAACTAAGCCTTTGTCCTGCAACTACTGAGCATCAACTAGAAAGAAGCCCGTGCACCGCCACGAAAGACCCATGTGCCTCAATGACAATCCCGCATGCAGCAACCAAGTTCTGGCACAGCCAAATAAATACATATTTCTAAATTGGTCATCTCTAAGCAAAGTACCTCTCTAAGGAAAACACTAGAAAGCCACACTGCCTGAAACCATGAAAGCAGCCCACTGATCGTGTTTGCTCCTCTTTACAAGTCAGGCGTGATGGTCCAGCTTCCACTTCATACCCCAGGCTGTTTACACAGAGCCACTGCTGCTACATTAACACCCCAAGCTCTTAAGGAAACACAGGGAGCCACCCAGACCAAAAGCACTACTGCATGCCCAAGTCTTACCTTGTGCAATGAATATCCTGACTCAAATATAATAGGTGGAAGCAAGAGGAGGAAAAACATATTTGGACGAAACATTTCTTCCTCCTGTAAACATAAAATGTGTATTTTCAGAATAAATATATCAGTGAAGAGCCAAAGTCATTCTTCTCTTGGAACTTGGCCCAGTGGAAACATACAATGTTTAAATCACTACTTGATAATAAAACCAAACAAAAGCAGTGACAAAACAAACAAACATACAAAGGCCTCAAAAGAAAACCTGCATTTAAAAATGTAGAACAAATTACTTTAAAGGTGACCAGAAAAATGAGCAGCAGAATGAACTGCTTCCAAATGTACAGCAGTAGGCTCTTCATTCTACTAAGGAAAGTAAATTAATTTTAATATAGAAAACATTTCAATTCAAATAGAACACTTTCGAAAACAAGTCCACAAATTGGAATTCCTCCAGGGAAGAGGTAACGGTAAGCCCTAAAACAATCCACTTAAGAGGGAGGGTAAACCCCAGTCATGTTTAAAATAGCTCTGCCTTTTCTCTGCCTATCAGAGACAACTATGCCATTTTCCTAAATCTGACTGTGATGAAACAGTTCTCACCTGATGCCCCTGCAACTTGGGACATGGCTATAAAGTGAGCCCCTTGCCAGCTTTCAGATTCAAGTATTAAGTACCAGTATGAAATATATTTTTAGAATATGAGTATCTTCAGGGACAAAGTTACCCTAAATTTGGGGGGATGAAATAATAATTTCATCTTCTATATTAATACAGCTCTCTTCTTACAAACCTACAGAAGGAAGGAAGGAAGGGATGAAGGAAGGAAGGGACAACGGAAGGAAGGAAGCTCTAACTGTGGTGGATTGGAGGGAAAATACATACTGGTTCTCAAACCCAAATGAGGACAGGTAATACAGTCTACTTAAAACTGAAAAATCAGGACCTTTTCAAAAGAAAATTCCCAAGCTACAATCTTGACAGTTTGATTTCTTGTCAAAATCCCTAGTCAAAAGAATGATAAATGTATCCTTACAAATGTATGGCTGTTACCATAAAGACTTAAAATGACATTCGAAAAAGGCTCAAAATAGAAGCAAATGATGACTTCAGAAAATGCCTTATTAAGTCTTAAAATAACAGCCTGTATAACAAGCTCATGACTCAGACTGGGGCCATGTGAAAAGAAATGGGCCGACCTCTGTAATTTGTGGAGTACCCTACACACAGGCTCTGTGTGGTAGGACCACGGCAGAGACTCTTAGTTTCAGAAACTAAACTTCCCCTGGGAGAAAGGAGAGCCCGCCTGCAGTGGGTTCACAGCATCCTCTATCCCTAGTTCGTGTCCACCTGGAACCTCAGAATACGACCTGATTGGAAAATAGGGTCTTTGCAGATGAAATGAAGGGCAGAACCCAGCTGCGATCTTGCTGGGTTAGGTGGGCCCTGAACCCAATGAGAGTGTCCTTAAAAGAGACAGAGAATGATTCATAGACACAGAGATGAAGGCACACGAAGGCAGGCTGAGGCAGAGAGGAGTTATGCTGCCACAGCCAAGGCAGGCCCAGGACCACCAGGAGCTAGAGGAGGTAATGAACGGTCCTCCCCGAGGGCCTGGGTTCGCTCCCTGAGGGGGCGTGGCCCTGCCAACACGGTGACTGCAGACTTCTGGGCCTCTAGAACTATGCCTGCACAACCTCTGCTGTTTCAAGCCACTCGGTCTGCGCTGATCTGTCACAGAAGCCCCAGGAGACACACACGCCCCCTGACAGTGACGGTGTCACAGAGAGGTCCCAGGTTCCTTTGGCAACATCTCCCCTCAAGTGGCCTGAGGCGGTACGTGAGCGATGTGTGTCAAACACCACCGACCCCACAGGCTGAGAAAGTCAGCCGGTTCTGACTCTCTTTCTCAATCCCAGTTAGTTGGACACATCCATCTGGGGCCACCCCGCTAAGCCTGTCTCCACCGTGCCGATCCCTCTTCTTGACCAAGAGGGAAGGCTTGGCCTCAGAGGCTTCAGCAAGCAAATGTACTACTCTGTTTTCATATTTATTTATAAAAACAATATTGGCTCCCCACTTCAAACAGTATTATAAAGTCTCCTTATTTAAAATAAACGTTCACCAAGGTTCATAGCAGCATCATTCATGACAGTCAGAAGGGGGAAACAACGCCAGGGGCCAGCAGCAGATGAACGGGTGAACCAAAGTGTGGGCTGTGCCCACCAAAGAATGCTATCCAGCCATAAAAGGACAGAAGTGATCCTACAGGTTACAATGTGGATGAACTCTAAAAACATCATGGTAAGGAAAAGCAGCTAGATGCAAGAGGACAAATATTTGCATGATTTCACTTATTCGAGGTACTAGAATAGTTAAGTTCATAAACACAGAAAGTAGAATAGGGGCCACTAAAAACCCAGAAAATGTTAAAACAAAAACAAAACACAGAAAGTGGAATACAAAGCAGGTAAAGAGGAACGGGGAATTGTTTAATGGGTAGGGTTTCTGTCTGGGATGATGAAAAATGTTCTGGAGATAGTGGTGATGACTAAATAACACTGTGAATGTACTTAATGCCACTAAACTGTAAGCTTAAAAACGGCTCAAATGGTAAATTTTATGTTCTCATTTTACCACAATAAAAGCTTTTAAAAAAAATTTGTAAAAATGCACATACCTAAACAAGCAGGCTGACTTAAAGAAATATATTAAGCCTATGACAACACAGGCAGAAGGCAGCCCAGTGGGAGAGTTTGGAAACAGAACAACACGGGAAGAAAACACCACTCCAGCACTGCTTTTCTCTCCTCCCCCTGCTCCCCGCAGCACCAGGTTTCCAAACAGGCCCTGCTTCCTATTGGCTTTCCACAAACACCGGCTCCTCTGGAGAGCCTGCCCTACTGTCTTAGCCTAAAAACCTCACCCTTTTCTGAGGTCAAGCACTGGCTGCCTGAAAGACTCCTAAAAGCATTTCATTGCATTCACCACCCAAATGTGGTTCATGTGTCTATACTATTAAACATGTTATTATTCTTTAACTTGAAAACCAACACACGCTGAAAAATATATTTAATAACTCTGAAGCATAGAAAATTAAAGGATAACTCTTTTCCCAGTCCTGCTCAGAGCAGGGCTCATCCATTCACAGGCTTCCCTGGGGTACCCCGCAGACCCCAGGGAGCAGCTGCACTCAGCAATCCCTGCTGGGGGGAGCGTGGGCCCAGGGCTGAGAGAGCGTCTGCTTCTTCCAGAGACGCCAGAAGTTCACATTTTTACATGAAATTTCTAGAATTTTATATAGATTAATAATATTTAAAAGAGAACTAATGATTTTTAAACTGGTTTTAAATCGATCCAATTTTAATCAACTGATTTTACATCAACAAAATGTGTCGGGGGCAGTACTTACACATCAGGCTCTATCCAAGGTAAGAGTGGAGAAAGGGTGTATGGTATGTGCTCCCTGCCCGAGAATGTGCCACATGAGGAGGTTAAACTGAACCACTTGCAGGAAGGCCAAGCTTTACACACAACACGCTCCAGTGGGGCCTGCCCAGTCCCTTCCCAGGTGGAGGGGAGTTCTAGAAATATGCCGAGCTCAATACACATACTGAGAATTCACTTAACACATACAATACGTCCTGAATACTATTATTATTTTATAAATGTAGACTTTCTTTCTTTTTTGTTTTTTTTTTTTAATTTTTTTCATTTATTTTTATTAGTTGGAGGCTAATTACTTTACATCATTGCAGTGGTTTTTGTCATACACTGAAATGAATTAGCCATGGATTTACATGTATTCCCCATCCCGGTCCCCCCTCCCACCTCCCTCTCCACCCGATCCCTCTGGGTCTTCCCAGTGCACCAGGCCCGAGCACTTGTCTCATGCACCCAACCTGGGCTGGTGATCTGTTTCACCCTAGATAATATACGTGTTTCGATGCTGTTCTCTTGAAACATCCCACCCTCGCCTTCTCCCAGAGTCCACAAGTCTGTTCTATACATCGGAGTCTCTTTTTCTGTTTTGCATATAGGGTTATCGTTACCATCTCTTTCTTTTTTTTTATTGGCGTATAGTTGATGTACAACATTGTATATTTGATTCTGATGTAAACTGACTCAGTTTTACATATATATATTCTTTTTCATTATAGATTATTACAAGATACTGACTGAATATTATTTATAACAGTTTCAAATTGCATTTTACCTCAGACTATGAAGCTCATTTTGCAAATTTTATACTCTACAGTTCCACAAGTAAATTAGCCGTCACACCTAGGAGCTGCCTCAAAGTAGGGGGGGCTCAAATGTGAATTTTTACAATTCTTTTAATATTTTGAAATGGACCATATTTCCCTTCACAAAATCAGTTTTGCTAAGCTCCCTACTCAAGTTTCAACCAGTCCGTGGACCACAGACGATGGTCACACTCTAATGACCCCGAGGGAACGGAAGGGTACGAACATCCACAAAGTGATGACAGTGTGGTGCGGTGGAGAAAATACAGAACACACGGGACCAGAGGGCCTGGGCACAAGCGCCAATTCAACTGCTCTCTAGCTCTGTGATGCTGGCTGTGTCCCAGCCCCTCAGAGGTCACTTTCATCATCTGTAAAAATGGAGATAATATGAGGTCCATCTAACTCCATGGTTGTCATGAGGATGACAGAAGCTAGTGTATAAAGCATGCTCTAAGGACTATAGTGCTGCATAGGTAAGTCTTATTAGCTGCAGCTGTTACAACAGAATTAGGAGAAATAAACATTAACACTTAATGCTCGGAGAAGGCAATGGCACCCCACTCCAGTCCTCTTGCCTGGAAAATCCCATGGACGGAGGAGCCTGGTGGGCTGCAGTCCATGGGGTCGCTAAGAGTCGGACACGACTGAGGGACTTCACTTTCACTTTTCACTTTCATGCATTGGAGAAAGAAATGGCAATCCATTCCAGTGTTCTTGCCTGGAGAATCCCAGGGACGGGGGAGCCTGGTGGGCTGCCGTCTGTGGGGTCGCACAGAGTCGGACACGACTGAAGCGACCTGGCAGCAGCAGCAGCAGAGGACTGTATACAGCAAGGGCTTCGCTGGGGGCGCAGACGGTAAAGAACCCGCCTGCCGTGCAGGAGACCTGGGTTTGACCCCTGGGTTGGCAAGATCCTCTGGAGAAGGGAATGGTCACCCATTCCAGTATTCTTGCCTGGAGAATTCCATGGACAGAGGAGCCTTGCGGGCTACAGTCCATGGGGTTACAAAGAGTCAGACAAGACTGAGAGACTAGCATACATCAAGGTAATCTAAGATTGCAGAAATGCACACAAATAACAAAACATGGCACTGAATGCTTCTTAACTCGAAACTATGAGATTCACGCTTTTTCAGAAAACTCAGATGAAAAGGTATCAACCCTAATCTACTAAAATGTTAAAAAATCAATGGGACAATATAAACTTCACAGACAGTCAAGTAATGATAAGAAGGCCACCATAACCATCACTGTCACTAAAACTAAGAACCAATCAAAATTGTACTTATGTTAAAAAAAGAACAGTGGGTAAACCTACCTTCCAATTTGCCAGTTTTTTAAACTCTATAATTTTTATAACTGCTCCCATGAGAATACCTAGAAGAGAAAATGTACAGATTAACAAAAAATTTAAGACATAAGTAAGATTCCTTGAGTTTATTTTTCTAAAGAAATTGACTACTATTACGTCTCTGAGTGGCTTTTATGAATTTCTGCAAGTTTTGTGTCTGAAAACGTAAGAATGGAAATTAGCGTGGAGTTTTACCAATCATACGAGTTTCCCACCTGCATCTCAGGCAAACCTCCTATAACGAAGTCTACAAAAATCTGGGGGCGGAGAGGGGCAAAAAAAGGTTCACAAAACAAGACCAGAGGCTAGTTTGCCTGGCATGGAAGACTTAACACTGCTCATTTTTGCTTTACCCACTCATTTTCAATGTAAAATGGCAGAAAGCTAAATTTGCCCTGTTACCACTGATTCCTGCCATTTCACAAAGGAGTTAAAGATCACGTTCTCAGGCTCAGGTGGCAGCACCACGTACAGTGTTTAGTTAGAGATAAAGTCCTGATGCTGAAAATAACCTAAAGGAAAGGTTCTGTGAAATTCCCGGAACAAAACAGGCCATCTAAGTTCAGGCATGTTTTGACAAAGCTGACAGGCTCATTGCTCTCTCATAAAGAACCTACCAAAAATAATTCTCGAAGAAGCATCACAGGTACAATTTATGACTGCTCTGAGATTCCTCACTAGATAAATGACTCTTGACCCCGTGGGTGCTTCAGAATCAGCCGGGGAAATTTTTATAAAATGAAGACATCTGAGCAGAACTCGGGACCTGCAAAACCACCACCTCTGGTACAGGGGACCACCATCACAGACACGCAAAGATTAAGACTTCCCTGTGGTCCGCTGGTGAGGACTCTGTGCTTCCAATGCAGGGGGTGCAAGGTGGATCCCTGGGCAGAGAACTAAGATCCCACATGCCTTGTGGCCAAAAAATAAATAAAAAAGACTTTTTTTTTCCCCAGAGGAAGAAGCTTTTCTTCATCAACAACAGAAAGCTGAAGAAACGTACCTTATTGGGTGGGGGTGAGGAGAAAATACAAGAACATAGAATTTTATTAGGAGAAGAAGCTGCACAACTGTCATGGGGAAGGAGGGGTTTGAGGTGAAGAGAGGAAATAAGTTCATTTTAACTTTTATAAATCTCTGTACTATTTGTACATTGTTATATATTAATAAAACAACAATAAAACTTTTGATCAAGTGGAGTCAGATAAAATCTGATAGATTTGAGCTATAAAGGGAATAATGATCAATGATATTTTCAGAATAGTAATCATACATTCTTATGGGCTTCCCTGGTGGTGCAGACGGGAAAGAATCTGCATGTAATGCAGGAGACCTGGGTTCGGTCCCTGGGTCAGGAAGATCCCCTGGAGGAGGGAATGGCAACTCACTCCAGTATTCTTGCCTGGAGAATACTGGACAGAGGAGTCTAGTGGCTACAGTCCATGGGGTCACAAAGAGTTGGAAATGACTGAGCAACTAACACTTCCACTTCCAATCAGACACTCACTTGCTACGTGGTAAGAAAGCACTTATTCTAACCTTTCTCAAAGTTCCCCAGTTGCTTCCTTTTTCTTATCTTTTTAAACTGTGTATATATTTTAAGGAGTTTTCATACTAATTTTTTAAATTAACCAAATAGTTTATGAATCCTTTGTAAAATGTTATAAACAAGAAAAAAGTCTCTTGATGAAATTCCACCCCCTGTAGCTCTCTCCCATTCTAAGGTAACCAGTCGTCTTGATAAGTCTGGGGAATGTTTCAGCAGACCCTTTCTCCACCCTCTTACATATTTATATGAACCACACAGTTCTAGAGCGTGTGTCTATGTACACACAAGGTGCGGCTGTGGGTATGTATATAAAAGGAACTTATCTTTCTATTATCTGCTACTTTGCTGAGTGTTAAGATCAGGGGTCACTACACACAGATCTGCCTCATTCCTCCTTAGCAGCTCTCCAGCATAGCATAAACATGCCAGAGGCTGAACACACATTTCTCCAAAGAAGGTACGCAAACGGCCAATAAGCACAAGGAAAGACGCTTCACATTGTTAGTCATTAGGGAGACGCAAATGAAAACCACAACGAGACATCAGTTCATACTGATTAGGATGGCTATCATTTTTTTAAAAATGGAAAAATAACAAGTGTGGCAAGGAATACTTAATATTGATATATTGATGGTGGGCATGTAAAAATGGCACAGTTGCTATAGAAAAGTTTGGCAATTCCTCAAATAGTGAAAGTTACCATATGACCCAGCAATTCCACCCAAGAGAACAGGAAACTTGGATGTTCATAACAGCATTATTAGCCCAAAGGGGGAAACAACCCACATGTCCACCAACTGATGAGTGGATACACAAGATGTGGTATATCCACACAATGGAAGGTTATCTGGCAGTACAGAGAAATAAACTACTGATACATGCTGCAATGTGGGTGAATCTTGAAACATGCTAAATAAAAGAAGCCAGACACAAAAGACATCTTTTATGATCCATTTATATGAAATATTCAGAACAGGCAAATCTATAGAGACAATAATGTTTTCCTGGACAGTATTAGGGATGACAGCTAAAGGGTATGGGATTTCTTTTGGGAATGAAGAAATGTTCTAAAATTGCTGTAATGGTTGCACAACTCTGTGAATATATTATGCTAAAGCCCTGAAATTTTACAGGCTTTAAAGGTTACATTTAAATACAGGTTACATTTAACATGAATAACTTGTATGGTATGTGAATTATATCTCATAAAATGGTTACCCGATCCCCACCCCCCAAAAGCCAGATTCTAATAACTATAATTCCCACGGCTCCAATTCATACGAAATGTCCAGAACAGACAAATCTAGAGATGGGAGGTAGGTGAGCGGTTGCCAGGGGACAAGGGAAGGGGAAAATGAGGAGTGACTGCTCATGTGTCGGGAGTGTTTTTGAAACAAATGTATTTATTTGTGGCTGTGCTGGATCTTCGCTGCTGTGGGGGCTGCTTCTCCAGCCACGGTGCATGGGCCTCTCATTGCAGCGGCTTCTCCTACTGTGGAGCAGGGGCTCAGCTGTTGCGTCTCCCGGGCTCCAGGGCACAGGCTCAGTAGTTGGGGTGCACGGGCTTAGCTGCTCTGGGGCATATGGGATCTTTTCAGATCAGGGATCGAATCTGTGTCTCCTGCACTGGCAGGCAGATTCTTCACCACCGAGCCACCAGGGAAACCCCAGAGAGTATCTTTTTGAGGGGATAAAAATGTTCTGGAATTAAGGGAGATAGAAGCGAGGTTGCACAACTCTGTGGGTATACTTAAAAGCACTGAACTGTACACTTTAAAATTTATGGTATGTAAATTCTACTTTAAATTTTTTTAATTTTATGGAAGTAGAGTTGATATACAACGTCATGTTATTTTCAGGTATATAGCATGTGATTCAGTTATACACATACATATTGTTTTTCAGATTCTTTTCCCTTACAGGTTATTACAAAATACTGAGTATAGTTTCCTAGGCTATATGGCAGGTCCTTGTTGGCTAGTCACTGTATTTATAGTAGTGTGTGTTAAACCCAATCTTCTAATTTATCCCGCCCCCTCCCACTGTATTTTTTGAAAGTCACTACTTTTTTAGCATCCCTCCCACGATGGCCATCTCCAGCTGTTTACCATTAACAGCTGCAGTGAGCGTGCACGTACCTGCCTCTCTAAATAATGAGGATTTATTTCCCTAGGGCAGAACCAGAGACGATGAATGGCATGGACATTTTTATCCCTGAAGCTGCTGCCAAACTGTCCTCCAAAGTGGTTATGCCGATTTACACCCCTGCACCAAAGCATCGTCACCAACCCTGGAAAATCATCAGCCTCTTCTGCCACTATGATGGGCAAGAAACTGTACTTTTAAGGTTTCAGTTTGCATTTACAGCACATCCTGCACTCAGTAATCGTTCCTGATTACGAAGGAAACTGATCATTTTTCCATGATTTCATATTTCATTTTCAAAGCTAGTGCTTTTTTTGTTGTTGCTGTTATTAAAACCTCAACTTTCTTTTTCCCTTGTAAATGTATACCAAACTTTAATACTTACAATAAAAGCTTTTGTAATTACACACGAAGCAATCACATGTGAGAGTCAGTGATTATTCTGTTGCCTAAGCTTGTTTCTGTATTACTATTTATGAGGCACTGGAAGCTTTGTAAAATACAGTATGATGTTATTACTATTAATACTATGACATGAGTAATCCTTTTGAAGTGTCCTAGGACTTAACTATGGTGCGGCATCAAATTGGCCAACTCCTCCTTTACCTTTTGAGATTGAGGTTCAAAGTTAGGTCAAATCAATCTAGTATACAGAAGAAATTAATTTATACCACACAACCAGACACCCTAGAAATAACACCCTAGCTGCAATTTTGTACATCCCTATCAGTAAAAAGAATTTGAGCATGTACCTCCAAGTTACAAATTTTTATTTTATTATTACTAAAAAAGTGCTACTTTATCACTGTATTTTAAAATAACACGAGAAATTCTGTGGTAGTCCAGTGGTTAGGAGTCTGCGCTTTCACTGCCGAGGGCCCAGGTTCAATACCTGGTCAGGGGAACTAAGATCTCACAAGCTGTACAGTGCAGCCAAAAATAAATAAATAACACCAAAAATAGAGACTATGAAAGAGATTCAAATTAAATAGAAATGTAAGTTCTAATATCTCCTTTTGCCCCAAAGACTCTTCATACATACACCTGATTATGGATACCACTGGATTAATTCAAAGGATCAGGAGCAAGTCATAATTATTTGTTGAGCCCCTTCTCCCAGGATTTGTTGCTTTATTCTTTAAAGAAAAAAAAAATTATTTGGCTGCGCCAGCCCTCAGTTGCAGCACGTGGGACCTTTGATCTTGGCTGTGGCATACAGGGTCTAATTCCCTGGCCAGGGATCAAACCCAGGCCCCTGCACAGTGAGTGCGGAGTCTTAGCCCCTGGGCCACCAGAGAAGTCTCCACTTTAAGTTATTCTTAACCCTCA